TACATAGTTGTAAGAGCTCCCTAAACCCTAAGCCCTAAACTCGCAGGATGTGACGCAGTTGGCTGCTGTGGTAGCTGTTCGTGGTGAGGCCCCGGACTCACTCCGTGGTGCCTGATTCCGCAGTGATTCTCTCTGTGGCCTTAGGACTTTGACAGTTCCGAGAGGGCCTCCCTTCTGACTAGCTTGAATGGATTTTGGCCTATGCGGGAAATGCTGGGATTGAGAGTGACTCGGTGCGCATATCCCACAACAGCTGCCAGACAGGCTTGTCATCCCACGAATTACAAGAGAAACCCGCATTGAAAAGATGGGCCCTTGCTACGAGCATTGTGATTGCGGTCGACCGGGCGCACACGCAAATGGCTTGTCAATAGCAGCTCAACCTCATCGCTCCTCTTAGCTTCTTTTTGGAAGGGTCATCCTTCGTGGTCCATCGTGGTGCATGCTGAAGGAGACGAATTTGGAAAGAGCTTTCGAGCAAGGACCTCGTTCAGGCCCTGTGGCTTTGCGATGCCAAGCGCTGCATGCGCTGCGTGCGTGTCGTTATGGACAGGGGAGAGCATGGTCTCGGTCCCTGCTATGGGGGTTTCCGAACACAGGGGTACCCTTTTGGGGGGTCCCTTCAAGGGGACTCTCTTCTATTTCACGTATCAAAGAGGTACCCGGATGTGGGAAGATACCCACATGCTTGCGCACCTCGGCCAATCCGAAGCGTGCTTCGATGCTCCCTGGGGATGCTGTGCATCGGTCAAGCAACTGGGGGGATTCTCTCACTTAGGGGGCCTTTTGTGGGGTTCTATAAGGCGGCCCCTAATATTATAAGAGCATCCAAGAGCCGTGTCGCAGTTGGTTTGGGCGCAACACGCAGTGAGCCCTTAGAAGCTCATAGAACTCCGAGACTCGCATCGCTGCCGTGATGTGAGTATCCCAGAAAGGACCACAACTCAGAGAACACACCAACCCTAAATCCTTAAGCCCAAAGCCCATCTAAACCCTAAAGCCTACGCCGTAAGTCCTAAGCCCTAAACTCTAAACTATCGCTATGGCGACCTTGAGCTGCGCAGGAATGGGGCTAGCTGCCTTCCTTTCACTGCCCACGCCGTGGGTTCAAGGTTGCCTCGTGGGCTGAAGAGGGGCCTTCTGTCCTGAGAGTGGCTCCCTTGCGGCAGTGACGGGATGATTTTCCCGGCCGCGAGTCGCCCGGCTCTGCGCAAGAACCCCCCGAAGGTCCCCTGAGACTCAGGCTCAAACAGCCTGGCTTTCCTGAATGTGAATACTAATCCCAGACCCTAAACGCAAACCCTGACTCAACTGCGCATCACTGCCTTTTCCGCCCATGGCGGCTGGACAGCGGATACTGGCCGTAAGATGACAGCTGCATCAAGAGCACGCTACCTGGAAGAGCACCAAATCCAAGCCCTAAAACCGTAGACATAAACTGGCGCCTAAACCGTAGACATAAACTGGCGCTTCAGACGGTGAGCGCGAGAGGAGCCAAGCAGCTTTACCGCCTGGCCCCTGCTCGGCGCCATTTTGGTTTGCGTGGTTGTGTTTGGGGTTTCAGGTTACCGGGAGGGATTTCGGGTGCAGGACTTCATATACCTCATGGAAGCCGGATCGTCGAATTTCGAGTGGAGCATTCGCCACCAGCGCGATCACTCCCAAGCCCCTGAGCCCTCAACCCTGCATTTTCCAGAAACCCAAAAACTGGTTCTCTGGGGTCGTATCCTAATCCCGAAACCCCTAAACTGTAAGCCCCATGCAGTACCCCACACCTTCGGAGCCCTGGGTCCGACCCAAGGTGGGTCTTGGACTCCGGGCGCACGGGGGTTTCTTTTCTGGCAAGAGGCTGGGGTTGGGGTTTAGGGTTGAGAAGCCCAGAGCTGGACCGGTGATCCGATCACGTGGTCTTGAGAGGCGTCTGGTACATCAGAGGCAAGCAACTTGGAGATGTATTCCCAGAGCTCCTGTCTAGGTCAAAGGAGAACGTCACTTGATGGCCGCAAGCAGCATGATGGGGGGGTGCCTGGTGGCATCTGCCGGTTCACAGGGGCCTCAACCCTTAGTCCCTTCAAAGGTCTCTGACCTTTGGAATGAGGAACGAGCTGCCCTTGGGCGAAGCAATCCCAGGAGCTCTTTGGCCTGAGCCGTGCGACGGGGGCCTTGCGACCCCGTGGCGAGCTTCTGCCCGCGTCTCGCGCGTGCACGGCTTTCTTTGCCAGGGGCTGGCTGCAGGGCTTTCGTGTTTCAGGTTGTGTTTTGCGGGAGTTCGGACGTCGATAGGGTTTTCCGGCGGGCTTCACTTGATGGCCGGCTCGCCGCGATCCTGCATCTCTGGCCTTTGAGGCCAGGCTTGCGCTAATGTTTCTTCCAACGGATTTGCAGTTGTGTCAGACCTCCGGGTGCAAAGCACACCTTTCTGCTGGCACCCGCCGAAGCTCCGTACTGTGCGGAGGGCGCGAAGCCTCATCCTGGCATCGGCAAGACGCAATCGTAAGATCAAGTGGCGCGACCTTCCACTTTTGTTGCAAGATTTGCAAGGCACAACATACCGAGAGCTCAATCCCCTAACTCCAGTAGCCAAAGAGGAGACGCAGATGTGAGATCCGGTGCCAGCTGGGTTTTGAAGACTCAGGCCCCAAACCTCGAGGCTGGTCAGGCGTGGCTAGTGATGTGCGACGCAGCCTTGTCCCCCTCTCAACCTTCACCACTCGCCCTGTGCGAAAAGCTGAGACGACCGTTGTAACGGCCTCCACATTCGCTTAACAGCAAGCCTTCGGAGGCCTTGAGCACACTGCTGCTTCGACCTACAGGTCGAAGGACGACGACGTCTTTGAAGCTCCCTGTCCACCCAGCCGCCGTGGTGACCATGGACATCTGGTGCTTTGTGAAGGGCGCCAAAGCAAAAAGGGAGAGGGGGGCTGAGCATGGTGAGGGGCCTGGTTGATAAAGCTGGCATGCTGCTGCCATGGTGCTGCTGCTGCCATGCTGCTGCATCTGCAGCTGACATTCGAGAGCATTCCACGTTCAACGCACCTTATAGTACATACGTACACATATACATATACACATACGCATATATATATATATATATATATGCACATGTATACATATGTACATATGTATGTGTTTGTGTATATGTGATTCAATCTATGAGTAAGGCGGGAAAATCAGAAACAACAAGTATAAAGACAAATTTAATTAAATAAACAAATACAAAATCAGAAAGTAAATAGATAAATACATAAATAAGTGTGTATTTTATAATTAAACATAAATATACATAAATTCATGAATAAATAAATATATAAATACATAAATATATATATATATATATATATGTACATACATACATACATACATACATACATACATACATACATACATACATACATACATACATACATATATACACACATATATATATATATATATCCTTCTTCTCTCTCTTTAAATAAATATATAAACAGATAAATCACTAAATGTGCATGTATTTCCTTCTCTCTCTATGTACATATATATATATAAATACAAATTTCAATATATATATATATATGTGTATCCACACATATACACAGCTCTCTGTCTCTCTCTCTCTCTCTCGCTCTTTTTTCCCGTTTTCTCTTTCTTGAAGCCGGAGGTCTTTCGTGGGAAGGCACGGTTTAGGAGTATCCAGAGGGGCCAGCTCCTGGCTGGAGCAGGTGGCCGGGCGCACGCGCAAGTCCAAGCGAAATAATGGGCAGTTCTTCTTTTCTTCTTCTTCTTCTTATTTCATTATGATTATTGTTGGCTTTTCTAGGTCGATGTTTTTGTGGGGAAGCGGCACCTAAACAAGGTACCCTGATCCGGAACAACTTCCATCTGAAGATTGGCTGATTGTGGAGCAGGGTTCGTAAGACTGAGTGCTTTGAGCTGCTTGTGTAACTGCGACAGGCGGGATGACATTGCAGCGCCTTCTCATGCCTTTGGCTCCAGCTTTCTAGTGTTCGTTGGAAAGTGACATGAAAAGTGACTCCATGGCTGGGCAGCGAGGCTTGAGGTAGCAGCTCGTGCAAAAACAGCAGGGTTTAGGGTTTAGGGTTTAGGGTAGAGGGTTTAGGGCAAGCCAACACGCCAAAGTCCAGCGAGCGCAGCAGCGGTAAACACCCCCCCCTGGTGCATCCTGACCCAGTGGGCCCACCTTGCTGTAACTGCCGACTCGGAGACGTCATGGCTCGGATATGAAGGTTTACGAAAATAGGGGACCCCGAAAATAGACCCCCAAATAGTAGGATCCCCTTATAACACGGACCCCTAATTTACGTAAACCCTCATATGGACAGGACTTGTCGGTGGCCTTTTTTTAAAAATTCTCCCGCGCGGCTCCCTTGCTCCTGTGCTGGGCGATGGGCATGGGTGCGGTCCCAAGCAGAGAGAAAGCTGCATCACTAGATGTCTCAGATCCACCCAAGCCCGCCCAAACACGAAGTCTTTATCGTCACTTTTCCCTATCCCTTGAAGCGAAACTCTGAAAATAGAACTCACAACCTCTGTTTCTTTGACATGTTCTAAGTCGCAGTTGGCTCTACGCTCGAGCTTCAGTGCTTTTGTCTTTTGAACAAGATTTGGGCCCCAAAAAGGTTCTCAACAGGAGTCGCTTCTGGACGCTTCGTCTTGTTGCCTTTGCCTTGCTGCCACGGACTTGAGGTTGTCATCTAGTTCTTCCGAACGGACAACGATTGGCACCTTCTTGTACACCTCACCCCGAAACCCCGTCAGCTCCTGATTCCCAACCACAAGTGCTAAGCCCGAAGCCGTAGTCCGATGGCCCTATGCCTGCAGCTCCTAACCTTTTGGCCGATGCCCTGGAATCCTAGAGCCGCATCCTACATCCTCGTAGCCTGGCTTTGAGAAATGGTCGTTGCAAGGCTCAATGGTTGAGGGGCTTTAGGCTTCTACAAGTGACACGCCCACGCCGGGTATGGTTCTTGAAGGGGATCGGCATCCCCTAGGTTAAGGGAATGGCCATGCTCAAGCTGCTGCTGGCCTGGTGCGCCGTGCGACTTAGCTCCGCGGCGCTCACCTGTGGCGCCCCGGCCCCCGATGACGGTGGGTCGCCCTTCCAAAACCAAGCCAACATGGAGCAACAAGGTCGGGACCTCAGTGGCTTTTGGGGGGCCGTGGGGTGGGCTCTTTCTCTCGGGTTCCTCTCAGTCTCTCAAGGGCTTTGGGGGGACCTTAGGACCTTAGGGGGGGGCTCTGGGGAAAGGTGCTCTTTTTTTGGGTGGCTTTAGCAGAATAAGAACCCGGCTGTGGTTCGAAGTGTAGGCTGGGACCTTTGCAACATCGGCCCTCCCCCGGACGACAGAAAGTTCGCGGACGATGGTGCAGGTGGCTTTTCAGGCTCGGAGGAAGGGGATGTGTTTAAGGGGCTTCTGGGGCGTTTCTCTTTGGGTAGGCTTTGGGGACTTGGGTCTTCGGCTAAATTTGCAGGGCTTGGGTTGAGAGTTGAGGTTCTTGGTTTGGGATCAGCTTTGGGCGGCTTTCAAGGCAGACGAAGTGGCAGCGAGCCGGGCAGCGTCTCCCTGACCTTGCGGGGCAACGGCCTTTTCACACTGGTTTGGGGAAACGACGGGCCTGGTGACGCCGAGCCTGTCACACTGGAGCTCCGCCAGGGTGATGGCAGCCTCGTCTTCGTCCAGACTCTCACCGGGAACGGAGCGAGGGAGACGAGCGCGAACGAAGCTTTCGAGGACGGGTACGTGATCAAACTCAGCGAGGTTTCCGCGACCATCTTCATCGAGTCGATCTCCTTCTCCAGCTGTGATGAGCCGATCGTTTGCCCAGCGGATCAGACGGAGGACCCCCAGCCAGGAGGCGTCTCAAGCACCTGGTCCGTGACGAGCTGGCCCAGCTTACCAGGTGCTATATGCTCGCCAGGGGGTGCTGGCACGCCGGGAAGCCCTGCGGGAGGCACCGTATTGTCCGACTTCACTGCCTCCTTCGATGCTGCCAGCACCACTACAGTAGAGTGCTTCGCAGGGGTGGATGCGGCCTGCAACTTCACAGTGACGGTTGGCGAGCCTTCTTTGACCTGCCCGAGTGACATCACGGTGGAGGCCGAATCCGATGCAGGAGCGGCAGTAACCTTCCCCGACCCAAGCGCCACAAACGGCTTCGGATTCAACTGCTCCTCCAAGAGTGGCGACACCTTCCCCGTTGGAAGCTCGGCTGTGCTTTGCTACCTCACCGACCTGTCTGAAATATCCTGTACCTTCACCGTGACGGTCACCATTCCCGCAGACGCCAAGACCTTGTGCGACAAGCTGACTTACCTCGATGCCACCCTCCTGGGCAAGAGTGCGAAGGAAGTCTGGAAGCTGTGCAAGAAGAAGGAGCTCATCAAGGACTTCGGACTAAACGATCTCAGTGGCCCCACCGTTCCCGACAAATCTCCGGCCGCCAGCGTGAGATCCGCCCTGGTGGCAGCCGCATGTGCTCTCGTTGCCTTGCTTGTTTCTTCGGAATATTTGGAAATATGTTTTTAATTTTTGGGTACCTTAATTCCTAAGAAACGGCCGAGATGACAATTTCTGCTAGGGTTCCAAGTTCAGTACAGGTTTGTGCCTTGGCGCGGAGCATAGTGAAGGGAAGGCTAGGAAACGGCCGTGTTCAGCCTTCGCCGCTTGCGGTTGACCGTGTCGGCTCAGAGGATGAGGAGCTGATTGGGACTTAGGCTGTATATGTATATATATATATAGATATATATTTTCTGTTCTATTCTGTTCTGTTCTATTCTCTTCTGTTCCATTATATGGTATTATGTGATATTATATTACATACATGAATAAGTAAGTATGTAGTCTGGGGTTTGGGGTGCTTTTACCGTCGAGAAGGTCCCCAAAGTTCCTTGTTCGGGTACCGTTGCGAGTGAACACATCTCGCCATGGGCTCAGGTGTTGAGGAGCTATTTATGCGATTATTTGGGACTCAGGCTAGGGTTTTGGGTGCAATTCTAGAGGGTCCTAGTAGGGTTCCTTAATTCTGGCACTGACAGCCGAGCTTTGGGACGGGTGGCGAGTGAAAATTGCTCGCTACCTGATCCCTTTCAAGCCCTCTCTACTGCCCTTGGCACAACCTGAAGCCGGTCTTTGGGGGGTTTCTGCTGCTTTCCATCTGGCAGACCTTTTGCCCCCCCGCCCCCCCCAAGCATGCGAGACTTTCCTTGACAACTGTTGGCGATTCCTCTGCGGCCACGAAAGACTCAGAGGGTAGTCGATGCCGTCACGAGGGCAGATTTCTGAGGTTCCTTAGTGTTCCTAGACGTTCCTGTGAAATTATAGAGGGGGTTTGCGTGGTAGAGTCCTTAGCATGCAGTTGGAGGAGTTGAGGTGCTGGGGTTGACATCTCATTCTTCAGGGTAGCAGCATCGACGTTCCAAGCATCCGCCTAGGTTTGAGCTTTTCGAGAAGGTTTGGGGTTTACAGTAGGTTCGTCTTATCCCATGTTGACAAGGCGTACGGTCCCAAAACACTGATAGCCCTCCTTGCAGTTCTGTTCGCCCTCCTGCCATTCTGTCACTGATAGCTGTCTCGCACAAACTGACATGACGGTTGTAAAGGGCTCCACATTCCCTTGACAGCAGCCTTGGGCGCCCGCTCAGGACCAGGTCGAAGGACGATGGAGCCTGTGAAGCTCCTGGTCACCCCGCCGCCGTGGTGGTGACCATGGACATCTGGTGCTTTCGCGCCAAAGCAAAGAATGAGAGGGGCGGGGCTGCGCATGTTGAGGGGCATCCTTGTATCCTGGGGCCGTGAGCGTCTTCTAAAAGCCCTGAAAGCCGGTGTAAATGAAGCTGGAGCCCATGATCTCTGAGCATCGGGGGCGGTTTGTTGATGTCTTGTTGCCTGGGTCGCAGCCTAACGCACTTTGACCAACGCGACGGGTACACTAATGTTTATGGCACTAAGGCTCTGGGTCGTTTTCTTGCTGTCGTACTGCAGTGTTTTGAGACACCACATGGGCGACATTGAGGGGACCTTGAGGCAGTTGAGTAGGTCAGCCATTCCTGTGCGAACATGTCCCTCTTCTGCCCCCCCCCCCCTTCCCCGCACCCAAAGGCCAGCCTGGAGCCCTTGCCTCCCCGGGTTCCCTTGGTTTTCGAGTGCGAAAAAAGAATTGCTCAAGGCAACGGAAGTAGATGTTGCAGAATGCAGAAGCAGACTGAATTGGGCCATCGGAATCCTGAGCAGTGAAGTAGAGATGCATACAAACCTTTTCCGCACACAGCTTCGTTGGTAGGAGCTGTTTGCAGCAGATTCTGCCTGTCGTCCAGAATTGCAACGGACAACTGCAAGCGAAATGACGAGTCCAGAAATCATAGGCGCCTTGCCATTGTTAGTCCGTCGTTCCTGCACGTGCGTGGCAGGGATTTTGAAATGCGTTTGCCCCCCCTCCCCCCCCCCGAAGGGTTGTCAGTTGTGAAGAGGCTTTGTGCAGCTTCGTTGCTGCTTACTTTCGACATCTTTTCTAAGCAATGGGCTCAGCGTGGCGAGTCTGGTTGATCACGTCGTAACCAGTGCAAATGCTGCAAGGGGTGGATGTTGGTCAGACTTTGGCATCGAATGTGTCCATCAAGGGGTGAAGTTGACTAGGTCCTCAGCACACCGGCTTGTGAGCCAGCTTTTGGCTTCCCAAGCCGTAAACCCTGAAGACCCCACACCCTACAACTTTAGGGGTGCAGCTGCTAAGCTTCCTGGCCCAAGCTCCGAAGATGCTCAGCGGGTTCCATTTTCTAGGGCTCGTTGTTTCGAGATGTTTCTCATGACATGCAGTAGTACGCGTTCTTGTACATTGCCAACGCACCAAGTTTATTCGTTCTGTCTACGTTTCAAGTGCAATCAACCTGCATAGAACTTTGCCGCCCCTTGTCACGCCTCCTTGATGGCCTTGTCTGCATTGTGGAGAGGAAATGTGGGGCAAGCAAGCAGCATTCTTACTCCTCCTTCTTGCTGTGCTATTGGGTTACCTATGTCAGTTCCCGCATTATTCTGAAAGACACGACGAGGAGACTACGAGAGCGGTTGAGCAGTTGAAACGTGCCTTGGGAAACACAGCCTTGCCGGTTCTGACGTACAATATCAGAATCGACATGGAGGAACGCGACGCCAACAACCACTTCACCAAGCGTGTTGGCCGACTTTCTCGCTTCATTGGCAAAGTGGAGCCTTGGTTGATGGGCCTGCAAGAGCCTTCTTCAGGTCAGCTGTTGCACTTACAAGCAGGTTTGGCGAGTCATTGGAAAGCTATAGGCTATGAAGGGAACGGACACAAAGACATGGACCGAGCTGATCCTCGTCGTTTCAACGACTACCAGACGGGTATACTCTATGATTCTCGTCATCTCAATCTGGTTGAATCTGATCACATTTGGCTTTCTGAAAGGCCGAGAATACCGGGTACCAAAAGTTGGGACAGCGTTGGGGTGCGCACTGTCACAATTGGAGCATTTCGTCTGCAAAGCATAGGGTCAGATGTGGACATCGTGCACTTGAACTGTCATCTGGATGTTTGGGGCGCGAAAGCCAGGTTCGAGCAGGCAAAGTTGCTCCTTGTACATAGCCAAACTTGGAGCCAGCGCCATGTGAATGCCACCATCGTGTTGACCGGCGACTTCAACTCCGCAAACGGTCACGGGCCGCATCGTCTTTTGTTGGAGGGAGGTTACAGAGACAGTTGGGAAGATTGCCATGGCATGCCCCAGCGATGTTTATCTCACAGTTTCGCCTCCACTTTCCACGGATGGCTTGGCAGCATCGTCAACACCTACGTGTTTCGAGCTTTCCAGTTTGCTCTGCATGCCGTACATGCTTGCGGCATTGACTTCCCCAAGTCAGTTCCCGGCAGCGTGCGTGAAGCTGGCCGACTGGCCGTACATATCATGAAGCAGCTAGATGTGGAGAAGGTGTGGCAGAACTTGCCCGGATCTTTCTCGAGGTTGCATGTTGACTGGATTCTAGTTCGCCAGGCAGTGCGAGGACAGACCTTGTCTCCGGAGGCTGTCGTCGTTACAGAGGTTAGAGACAAAGATTTCAGCAGTGACCACTTCCCAGTACTCGCTGTGTTCAGGTTAGACATGGGAGTGTCGCAGATGTAGAGCTTTGCATCACCGACGACCTACACAGCAGCGGCGGAAACGAGTTCGCGAGTCCGTTTTCTTTCGTGGTGGAGAAGATAACTCTGTCACCTTTGTTTGAGGCTCAGGGTGTAAATTTTTCAAGGAATCTGATGCCGTTTTGTCTTGGTAGTGATAGATGGAGCAAGGTCTTCTAGGGACCTCACATCGCTTGACTGCTCATGCCGCGGAAACTAGGTTCCTAAAGTGAGTCACTCGTCTCCAGGTTTTTGCATGCACTACCTCCATGGTGCCTGTAAACCAATTAGAACTGTACCTACGGCCCACTGATGAGAACCTTAAGTGCCCTAATATGGGTATAAGTACAGATATAAGTACAGTTGTAATTGGTTAGTAGGTACCATGAACCTCCAAGTATAGAACGACATGCTTCTGGGAGAGAAACAACATTCTTTTGTTCGTGTTCCGCGGGGGGGGGGGGGGGGGGGGGGGGGGGGGGGGGGGGGGGGGGTGGGGTTTCGTTTTGCTTCTTGGCTTTGTTTGGTGTTTTGCGGCGTCGAAACTGGACAATTATTGACAGTCGGGAGGTTGCATCTGCAAGCACGAGGGATCAGAAATTGCAGTCAGCAATCAAATGTGCTTCACACAAGGGTCCTGATTATGGTTGTCGATTTACAGGTAGCTTCTTGACAGGATTTTGCAAGATATGGTCCTTTTCATAGAGCGGAAAAGGCCTTCATTTCAAGCTAGTCCTCACTGAGTGTCATCTATCTCCACTTCATGGGCGTGGGACACCGGGATGGGATGATTCAGGTCTTCACGCAGCGAATAGCTGAAAAAGGGCAGGTACCATTCCTCGCCCTCGCCTCCTAGTATTGAGGTTCAGGGTTTAGGGTTTAGGGTTGTAGGTGGCACATGAACATGCAAGCAGGAAGAGTGCTCGTCCCATGCAGGCTTGGCTTGAGACTGCGACCTGAGCATGTCGGCAGATGTTGTGTATGCTTTCTAGGGTTTTAGGGTTTGCTGAATTTTTACTGCATCATAGGACGGTATACGCTGCATGGTTCACTCTCCCAAAACGGTGCTTTGATCGTCCTGAGTCCTAACTGCGACCGACATACACAACCACTGATGGTAGTACTGCATCAGCAACGTCCGCCTATTCACATTGACATGGCCATATCTTCTGTTCGCATAGGACATACTAGAAGTACGGTGTACTACACGATGGTCTGCAGAGGTATGCATCCAGTTGGGGTTTAACGAAAATAGCGGGGCCCCTAATATAGACCCCCCCAAACAGTGGGATCCCCTTAGAATAATGACGGTGCCCCTAATTGCGGAAATCCCCAGTTGAGGGTCGAAGCTTAGCGCAGTTTCGCCATGACCAATGGCCGATGTTTCCGTTGCAATCGAAGAGCCTTCGCCTTCTTCGTGTGCCAACATCACTGCGGAGGCTGCGGTGAGATGACAAGGCCCGCCTTAAGGGTTCAGTGTTTAGAAGTTCTTGATTGGATGAACAAGATTACGAGCCAACGATGTTGCAAAAGAAAGTGGGGTTGTAACGCGAAACTTGTAGCGGAAAACAGGCTTCAGAAGCGAAACCGAAGCAAACCGGGGACGTAACGGAAACCTGACTGCTGCACCTTACGCGAGGTATGGGCCACTGAACAAATAACCTGGGGGCATGAGGGAGAGGGAATGGGGACCATTCAGGGCTTTTTGGTTCACGGTTTTAGCGGTTTTTGAGTACCCCCCGTTCTGGTGCCGCGAAGCAACGAACAGAACTGGTAGCAGTTTCCTTCCTGTGCCGTGCGTTCCCTGCTCACACTCGTAGCGAGGTGTCCGACATGCAAGGCCAGACCCACGTGCACATCAGTCAAAGCTTCGGTTGCTTGTAAGTTACTTGGGCAATGACATTGCGTGCCAGAAACCCGTAAAGTAAAGCGACGGCTTTACCCCAAAGACGACAGACTGCAAACAAAAGTATATCTGAAGCAAGAAGCGGGCTTTGTGGGCTTGGTTGCTGGTTTGTAGCACAGTCGTTTTTGGCTTGCGTGAAGTTTTCAATCAGGCAGCGTGGTGTCCAACCATCAACCCGTTTCTGTCTGAGTTTTCGCGCAGCGGGGGCATGCTCCACTGGCAACACCATGTCTGCTGGAGGTCACATTTGCACGCGGAGAGCGTGTCCAGGTCAGGAGCGTGTTCAACCAGCAATCTGTTGCTGCCTGAAGTATGGAGCGTATCCAAGTAGCTACCCATTTCGGCAGGGAGCATGTCCAACTAGGAACCTGTTTCTGTCGGAGCTAGAGTTTTCAGGCAGGGAGCCTGTCCAGGCAGGGGTGTGTGTGTCCAACTGACAACCTTTTCCTGCCTGAGGTGAGACTTTCAAACAGGCAGCTTGCAACTAGAAGGTCTGACAGCCATTGCTGTCTAAGATGTTGTAGAGCCTGCAGAAGCCATACACCCTGCTCACCAAAGCAACTCATCCCGTCATGTTTCACTGGATAGTTTGGGGTTCCGACGTTTCCACTGTTTTTGCTTCCTGTGGTTGGGGCTAGTTTCCGTACCGTTACTGGTTGTGTTTTCGCAATACCCAACTGGTTTCCATTGCAACCCTTACCCGAAAGATGACAATGCTATGCTTATATCTTAGTGTTGAGTTTCCTTGGGGCACCACAGCCTGAAGTTCAATTTCTTCCTGGAGGTACCTGGTCTGCGGCGCCTGTGCCCTCGACCGGCGCTGCCAGCTCTGCCGGCGTGAAGCTGGCAGTCTGAGCATCGGCGATGAGGACACAGACTCTGAGGGTACGACGACTCCGACAGTGAGCGAGGAGGAGGGCGCAGAGACACGTCCGACCTCCAGTGAAACATCAAACCCGTTGGTTGAAGACGCATGCGATCCTGATGGCGATGAGGATGGTGCAGCGGCCGTGTTGAATAACCAGCCGCACGCAGCGACTTTTCGCTGAGAGGATGGCGTGAACGAGCGGCTTTGTTGGGTACAAAGCCTGCAACTACTCCGGTCCGCCGGGTGCGGAGGGAGCCTCACCATAGGTCGTGGACATATGCGTATTCGCAGATTGTCTTCGTTCAAGAAGCAATCTGTAGCTACTCCAATCCGCCGGCTTGCGGAGGGAGTCGACACGGTCATGAGGCCTTCGCTGTGCAACAGCAGATCCTCGTGGATTCGTTGATTGATTAGCTTCGCTCACGAAGCAATCTGTGGCTACTCCAATCCTCCGGGTGTTGCAACACCCTGCGGAGGGAGTCGACGCTCTGAGAGCGTCCATGTTGAGAGCCTCGCCATATGCCATGGGCATATCGCATGGACTCGCTGATGATTAGCTTCGTTCACGAGGCAATCTGTAGCTACTCCAATCCGCCGGTTGTTGAAACACTCTGCGGAGGGAGCCGGCGCTGTGTGGGCGAGTGAGGTTGTCCACGGCGCCGCAGGTGATTCTTCACCTCATGCTCAGCTGGGTTCGCTGTGATTAGACGAAGCAAAGTTATTCTTCCTATCCGTCAGGTGAGGGAAACGCGACCTTGCGGAGGGCCTTCCACCTCCCACCTCCCACCTCCCACCTCCCACCTCCCACCTCTGGTGGGAGGGTGGGAGGGTGGGAGGGTGGGCGGGTGTGGGTGGGAGTGGGAAGAGTACTGTATGGTGTTGTTCTTAGGAAGGCCTTTTCGCTTTGAGCAGCTCATTGCGATGGTGGTTAAGGTCGCATACGTAACTCTAAGAGTCCAAGATGCCCACTGTTTAGGGTTTAGGGTTTAGGGTTTAGGGTTTGTGTAGGGTCTAGGGTCTAGGCTGGGTTCAGGGATCAACCAGGGATCAACACATACATGCAGTCTTGGGTGTTCATCAATTTTTCTGGTACTTGGACTCTTGCAGAGGTAGTTCGAGGGCCTGTTACATTATTGCAAAACCTCATGTGTACAGTCCGGATCCCGGGGCCCTGGTCCGACATGAGAGGAAGTCCAGTTTTATCCAGTTTTGTTTACGCTGAGAGGAAGGCTGGAGTCAGGATCGCTTGGCTTGTGAAGCCCTTGGAACTACAATACTGCAATATGCAGCGGCCACGTCGGATTCATGTAGAAACGAGGCTCCCAGCCTTCTTCCCAGCAGTTCCAGCACCCTTGTATAGTGGCCATCGCGAGTGGCATCGACCAAGGGCGCCGTGCCTCGTTGGGTGCGCTGGGCGTCATTTAGTGGAAGAGGTGGCTTTCGTCACAAGCTGCCGTACCCCTAGTGCCGTAAACACTGGTGTCATTGTCCCGCAGTGTATACATGTTGCGGGCACTGACAGTAACTGGCTTTCCTAAGAAAGCCACCTCAGTTTCATAAGGGGATTGTTCTAAATTTTGGTTCCCCGTTTCCTTGCCTTTCATCTTAGGACTCCTTATTTCTCGTAAACGGAGCATCCGACCCCACTTTCGAACAAGCCCCACACGCGTTGAACGATGAAGACCTCGTCATTGGCGAGGCGCTTGTCTCTTATCCCCCGCTTTTTGGTGGAACGCTTCAGATAGAGTGCGGTGCTTCGTTGCGCGTGTACAGGGATGCGCTTACTCTGAACGACTGCGGGAACAACGTGGGAGACAGAATCATGCCAGCTGGAAGTCTCTGCTTTCCTGGGAAGCGCCATCGCATTTGCGTGTTTTCTTCCTAAACCCTGAAACTTAAACACGCAAAAAAGGACCCCAAACCCTAACCCTAAACTCTGAATTCCGCATAACCACCAAACCGGTAGTTTGAGAAACGCCCCCGCACCCCTCACCAGCTTCTGCATTCTTGTCTAGGGGGTCCTACTTCATCTCCAAGATTGGCTGTAGTGGACATTTTGATTCAGCTTTCACCTCCACAAAACCCTGCAGGCCAAACCTTCAACCTCCCCAAAGTTAAAAATCCTTAGAACCAACCTCTTTGGGCAACACATTTGAAGCACCGACTATCCCCATGCAGATGGCGAACCTCAAGATGTGTTGATCGTAAAGATGTTGACCCAAAAATTGATCCGTAAGATGAAGAGAGCCCCAATCGCAAGTTTTGCCCCAGTTAATTTCAGGCTGATTTGGGACTCAAGGCCCAGACATTGTGCCATGCCATAACAAGGAAATCAACAGAACACAGGAATCATATCGTATCGACTGCACAGCAGTGACAGAATCAAAAAGGGGACAAACGGTTTAGTCCTTGGGGTTGAGGCTTTAGGTCCTACTTGGAGGTTCATGGTACTTATCAACCCCATTTTCACAGTACTGAGAATCCGATACTAACCATGTTAGGGCACTTAAGGGGCTTATAAGTGGGTTATAAGTGCAGCTATAACTGGGTTATAAGTGCCATGAACAAGTAGAGTCTTAGGGTATAGAGACGCTGTTTCCGGGTGGGCTCAGCCTTTGGCTCCCAGATCAGCATGGATAGCATGGCTTCGGAACGCACCAGACCCCTGCGCGGGTGTTGTGTTAATATGTGGAGGGCAGTTGGCCAAGATGGTGGAGGAGGCAGTGTAACATGCAACTCTTTACATCCGGGAGTTCATCCATTTCCTCACCTTCCAGCCACCCAATTCTACTTCCTTGTCACCTCAAGGCGGAAAGGCGCCCCCGATCATGGAGGTGGTATGAAATACCTTTTCAACCACTTAAGTTTGGGTGAGAAGAACGTACTTGCAACCTACTAATCCTAAACTTTAAAGCCAACAAGCCCCCGTAGTCGCGCTTGCAGCTGACCCCGAAGCCTCTTGCGCTGCACTCTACAGCTTGAGCCAGAAGACACTCCAGGATACGCCTCATGCCCACACAATCGTAGTTCTTGCAACAGGCCAGCTGTTTGCTGGCAGTTGAACTCGATGGCCAGTGTGCATGGCCGTGGCCGCCTTGCGTGAGCTTCGACTGCAAAGTCTGAAGAGAGTCTGCACCTCAGCCGTGTTTTTGGAGGTGTCTGCATGGACAGTTTTCTGCTCGTGCCGGAAGGTTTATCGGTTGGATGCTACAGAACTTTGTTCGGCACTGCAAAACGCAGCAAAGCGACGAGTTCACAATCGCGAGGCGCACCCTAAACCCTAAACCCCAAACCCTAAACCCTAAACCCTAACCCTAAACCCTAAACCCTAAACCCTACACCCTAAACCCTAAACCCTAAACCCACATGCAGGTTGAGAAGTTGTCGGCTTTGTCGGCTTGCTGAGTGGGAGCTTACTGTGCGGCAGGAGTTCGCGATTGGGATGCTCCCCCTTATACAGTCCTTAACAGGGATTCTAATCGGAGGGTGCCAGAATCCCTATTGCGGACTTGTTAGTCTCAGGGGGGACATCCCAAGTTCCCGGCATTGGGGCCCCCCGAAAGGCGTGAGCCGAAAACACAAGCCCCAAACTCGAAGTTCACACTCCCCAGCTTGTTTCAGGGTTTAGGGTTTAGGGTTTAGGGTTTCGGGTTTAGGGCACTTCGACTACGGGCCGCCTGAAACCCTAAAGCCTGACCTCCAACAGCAAGGAGACCCTCGTTTAGAACTAACACCCCTTCTCCCCCCCCCCCATCTAAACCGTAAACCCCAACCCCAAACCCCAAACCCCAAACCCCAAACCCCAAACCCCAAACCCCAAACCCCAAACCCCAAACCCCAAACCCCAAACCCCAAAACCCAAACCCCAAACCCCAAACACCAAACCCCAAACCCCAAACCCCAAACCCCAAACCCCAAACCCCAAACCCCAAACCCCAAACCCCAAACCCCGAACCCCAAACCCCAAACCCCAAACCGAAAACCCCAAACCCTCAACCCTAAACCCGACACCCCAAACCCTAATCCCAAGATGCAGGTCTGGGATGCTCTGCTGTATCGCGCCGCTGCCTTGCGCGGACAGTTCGGGTCTCCTGCCTCGGTCATGAAGGTTTTGGGGTTTCGGGTTTAGGGCTTCGGGCTTAGGGTTTAGGGTTTCGGGTTGCGGGTTTTGGGTTTGGGGGCTGAGGGTTTAAGGTTGGAGCTCTGCGACACTGACTTGAGCCCTGAGCCCCAAGCCCTGAACCCGCACAGTCTCAGACGTTGAGCCCGAAGCCTAAGAATCAGACACCGTACATGCCCCAAGACAAAATCTTCAGAGGATTGTATAGGGTGCCTCATTCCTTTCATTCCCTACCCAAGAACCAGCAAGCGAGGCCGAATGATTTGGCACTCACCATCGACGCTTTGGTGCCGCGCTTAAAGATCAGCTCTTACCTGGAATATGGGGCTGAGTACCTTTGGGGCCAATGGGAGTTCACGAAAATAAGGACGAAAAAACGAACACGATCAATTCCCTTAAGCAAAGGATCCCAATAAGGTACGCCTAATTTCGTAAGCCCCCACATGAGTCTTGAATGGGTCTCTGATCCTCATACCTGCACAGGGATTGTGAAGTCCGTGTTCTGATTCTCGCTTTTGATGGTGTTTCGTTGCAGCGTCTCAGTGGGCGGAGTTGCCCAAGCAGGGAAGGGGATCCCCTTGCCAGTCAGACAGCTCGGTCATGTACCCACCCTATGGCGGTGGTGGCCCACCCTATGGCGGTGGTGGTCCGCCCTATGGTGGCCCGCCCTATGGTGGTGGCGGCTATGGCGGGCCTCCGCCAGGATATGGGATGCCTGCAGTGGCACCTGGGATGCAATCCATGGAGCACCTGAACTACGTGCCTTGGCTGTTTCGAACAAGAAGTTTGCGCAGTCTTTCTAGCTTGGCCATTCTTTTTTGTGAGCTTGGTGTTGTGAATTCGACTGGGAGCTCTTCGCCACATTGCATCTTTTGGTGCACAGGAGGTAGATTCCACCCATGCAGGCAGCCTGCACTGAGTTAAGCTGCAAGCATGGTAAATCCACAGTCGCTGCAAGCGACCTTTACGCTGCAGATTTCTAGAACATGCCGACCCGCTTTTGGCGAGGTGAGCTCGGTGTCAATCAAAGAACAGGTGCGCGTCGTGGAAGCTTTGACTGCGGCGCTTGGTCAAGAGATGCTAAGCCGCTGTTGCGTCAGCTTTCCTCTGCTTAGGGGATTAGGCAAAGCGGCTGAAGCATTATCACACACGAACATTTTCAATGGTTCTGTACGTGATCCCAGGATTGAGATGGCGAATAAGTGACCTGGCAGCAAGAGCGTGGCGAACAACTTGACCTCACATCCCAAACTTCAAGTCCCAGAAGAACATTCTGCTTGTCCCCTTCAGCAGCTTCGGGATAGGTGATGATAGGTGTTTGTTGTGAACTTGTGTGTGACCAAGGTATCAGATCTTGGACTCGAAGACGGAGCCTCGCCCACAGCTGTCCTTAAGAGCTCTCAAGCCCAGAAGCCCCCACGTCCCTAAGCCTGGGATGGTTCCCCTTCTACTATATAGCCATCCTCAATAGGGATTGCAGTACCCGCGATTAAAATTCCTGTTAATGAAGGACTGTTAGTATAAGGGGGCAACCTCCCAGCCTCTACCTTACAAAAGAAACTGGCACTCCTAGGGTCAAGAAATCTTCTTTGCGGTGGAGCAGACGGACTGCCTCACCATGCAGATCAAGCAATGCTGCCCCGACTGCACGGCCTGGAATGTTGACCTTTTGCAGCTTGCTGCAGCAGGAAGAGGCATAGTTTGCTTTGCTTTGTAGTATTGGCTTGCCTTGTCCGCCTGTTTTGTGTTGTGTTGTGTGTGTGTGCGCGCCTGATCTTACATGAGGTATCAGGGGACTCCGACCTTCAAGCTGAACCGGCCTTGGACGCTCACGTGTGCCTCACTGGAGAAAGCCGCGAACATTCAACAACACTCAAAACCTAAACCCCTAAGCTCAACCCCCGGTTTCAGACTTCCGCCAGTCGTGTGTGCTTCAGGGTTTAGGCTTTCGGAAGTGTAGGGAGGGCTATGGCCTTGATGCTGAATGCAGTGCCACGCGCACCCGCTGAAGGCTGCTGCTTCAACCGGCCTGTCTTGTCCGTTGCCGACATGCAGGGCACCCGTGCTGCACTGGAACCCGAAGCCCTAAGCCCCAAGCCCCAAGCCCCAAGCCCCAAGGGTACTATATAATCTCTATTTATGGACTGTGAGTATAGGGGGGAACATCGCAACCCTAGGGGTCCTACGTGGAGAATCCAAACTTCCTGGGTGCCCGGACCCTCTTGGAGGTTCATGGTACTTATAACCCTAATTATAACTGCACTTGTAAGCCCACTACGTCCCCTAGGTAGGTTATATGTAGACGCAAAACTGTGGTCGAAAACCAAAAACCCTAAACCCTAAACCCTAAACCTTAAACCCTTAAGAACCCATGAGCCTCCAAGCTGTCAGAGGCATCCCGATTGGCGAAGTCGTGGATCCGTGCACGTGCTGCAACCTGGTCTTCCACGCCAAGGTCAGGTCTCCCAGGGTTTAGGGTTTAGGGTTTAGGGTTCAGGGTTCAGGGATTAGGGTTCAAGGTTTAGGGTGTTTTTTTTTGGGGACCCGAACTCTCATCGAGGTCGCTTGGACAATACAAGCCTGGCATGATCTGAGCCCGAAGCCTGTGAGGACCACCAGGGCAACGACCTTGTGACGATCGACGGCGGCTGCTGTCAGCTGGGGCTCTTCTGCCCTTGCCCATGCGGCCCTTGCTCACGGGTGCACTTCGACATACAGCGCCTGGCCGGCACAAGTAGCAAGGACCAACCTCAAAAGGCTCTAGACGCACGAAGGCGTATAAGGTTGCAGCATCCTGGGATTGTGTTGCATGAGGCCCCCAATCTTGGGCCCAGAAGGTCCCAGAGCCTTCAAACCCGGTCTGCACATGTCTTCCTTGATACCCTCAACCCCAAACCCTGTACCCTGTACCCTAAACCCTAAACCCTAAACCCTAAACCCTAAACCCTAAACCCTAACCCTAAACCCTAAACCCTAAACCCTAAACCCTAGACCCTAAACCCTAAACCCTAAGGGTTTAGGGTTCATGGGCCTCACAGCCCCCGCCGAAGGGATCCCAGCGGCCGGCGTATCGGAGAGATCGTCAAGAAACTCTCCTTTTGCAAGTGGATGATACAAGACGACGTTGACAACTACCACATCGAGTTCGGAGAGGCCGCTCGGGATTCTGAAACCTTAGGGTTTTGGCTTAGGGGTTTAGGGTTTAGGGTTTAGGGTTTAGGGTTTAGGGTGAATACAGTGGAGGGGTGAGCTCCTAAGCCCTAAGCACTAATTCCAAATCCTAAAGCCCTCATTGGGCGTCAGGGGTTTTGGGTTTAGGGTTCACACTGTGGTAGGTTTGGGATTTCGGGTTTGGGGTTCAGGGTTTCTGGTTAACGCGGGCTTTCGCACCTGTGAACTGCTGCACTGTGGGATACCAGCCATTTGCAGTAGCATCCCCTCTTCAAGAGGGCCCCCAAAAAAGAGGGACCCGAAGCCCTAGTTCCCCAACACCCTAACACCCCAAAACCCAAAACCCAAAACCCTCCACCCTAAACCCTAAACCCTAAACCCATAAGCCACTGATGTTCGGAAACCTGTGGGTTGAGGTTGGCCATCCGGCTGCCAAGCTCGTGGTGATGGCCGTGGCAATATTCATGGCTGCTTTGCAAGCCCAGGGGTTTAGGGTTTAGGGTTTCGGGCTTAGGGTTTACCTGCTAGGCACTTCGCTGGGTTGCCTCCGACAAGAAACCGAAGTAAAGCTACTATGAAGCTGCCATAGCAAGGAAGCCATACTCTCTGGGTTAAGGGTTCTGGGTTTGGGGTGTCATGGTACCTTGTTGAACTTGCTCAAAACCCTAAACCCTAAACCCCAAACCCTAAACTCGAACCAATAAAGCTGCAAAGCAACTCAATTTTGGGTGGGTGTAGGGTGTTTAGGACCGTTCAGCCTTCAGTGCCTGGGAAGTCTGGGTCAGTTCATTCCAAACCCTAAAACCCCCTAAACCCCAAACCCCGAAACCCTAAACTCCTAAACTCTTCGACCAAGAGCCTGTAACCCCCAAACCCAAAGACCCTAAGCTCCGTGCAGTTTTTTCACGCGTCAAAAGCCTGTGGCCAACGTAACTTAGGGGGTTTGGGGGCTTAGAATTTCGGGGTCTAGGGTTTAGAGTAGGGCACCAACACATGGGCATTTCCCAAACTCGGGGTACCCCTTATATACCCCAAATAGAGTCAAGTCCCTTAAAGGGACCCCCCAAAAAGGGTACCCCAATTTTCGGACACTAAACACATGAGCATGCCCCCGGTGCGAGGATTTCAAGTACTTCAGCACCAGCTCGCGGGACGACGATGGCGGCATTCTGGGCATCGGCGACTCCGAATGAGCTCCATGCACGCGCCGCGGACCTGCTCAGAGAGGTGTAAAATCCACCTCGGGGCAGGGCGGTCTTATCGTGCCTTACAGAAAACCTCTGGTATGTGTGACTTGAGGCTAGAACAAGCCCAGTCACCTCAAGAAGAATGCCGAATGATTGAACCTTTCAAGTTGGCATTGCCGGGCAAAAGCGACCCGTGTTAGGGACCTTAAAAACTCTTTGGGGGTTATTTAGGGGGCTACTTAGGTATATAGGGACTCGTTCAGGGTTATAAAGGGGTCGTGTAGGGGAACAAGATGAAGGGTCCCTTCTCGGGGTCCTCCTTTGCCCCCCCCCCCCCCGGAATCAAAGCTGTCCCTTTCCATCTCGAAGCCGCGCTGCCAAGGCCCGAATCCGATACAAAGACCACGCTGTGTTGGACTACATGCTGCAGGAGGCATGACGCTAACATAGGGGTCGGAATACATACTAATAGTATTCCCTTAGGGTCCCTTGATATTCATACTACAATAACCCCCAAAACCCTATTCTAGTCTGATCAGTTGCATGCTCGTGGTGTGTCCCACACGTGCACGAAGTAAGCCCCCCAACCCCGAGATGTGATGGTAGGACCCAAGGAGCCCAATACCCCTTGACTAAGGGATAGACCTCAAACCATCATAAGGATCCCTTTATGATTTAGGTTCTATTCCTTTTTTAAGGGGAATTTACCTTAATCATCATAAGGATCCCTTCATAACAAATAAGGTCAATTCCTTGTTTAAGGGGGCATCAAGGGCTCTCGCGGGGGAGATGGGCAGGTGCGAAGCAAGGCCCGCCGCTTTGCCGTGCGGGACGTTGCCCTGCTGCTGCAACTCGTCATAACTCGTCGTCATGTAGCTTTGGATGATTCCTACTAATTGATGAAGAACCTCACCCCCCCAAAAAAAGATACAAAATGTTCTTCCCTATGAGGGGAATAGGAGGATTAGTCTCTTGCATTTCTGGGGGGGGATCTTCAGAAAACTGTAGATTCTGGTGTGCAGGGCTCCACTAGTCACTAGCCCCTGAAGGCATTAAATGACCCGAAGGAGGCGTCTTGAGGGCATCAATCGCTTAGAGCTCCGCTTTGTTCGTATTCGGGGCGGAGGGCACAGGACAATGCGTCTGTGGAGTTGACAGTTTAGGGTTCGCGCTATAAGTACCCGGAAGGGGATATATCCTTTAACTAAGCAATGTACCAGGGGTCCTTAATATGATTTCAGGTATATTCCTTCGTTAAGGGGTATACAGGGTGGCTCTCTGGGTACGGTTCCCAAGTCCCAGGTCGTAAGCAGCAAGTGCAGGGGTGACGGGGGGCTGGGGGGAATCCTCCAGCTAAATGCCCTAAAACCCAAAACCCTAAAACCCTAAACGTCCCTAAGCCCTAAACACCACAAACCCGAAACCCGAGACAACCTAGACGCTCTAGACACCCTAGACCCCCCCAAGACACCCTAAACAGCCAACGCACCCTAAACACCCTAAACCCTAAACCCCAAACCCGAAACCCTAAACCCGCCTAAACCCTAAACCCTAAACCCAACCAGAGTGCCAGCCGGGGGTCAAAGCTTCGTGGCGCAAAGGGGAACCAGGCATTTTCAGCTGCCGGCAAGTGCAGGGATGTGTGGGGTTGAGGGTGTGTAGGGCTTGTGATGGGCTTGTTTCGGGGGTTGGCAAAGAAAGATTTCAAACCCTAAGCCCTAAACCCTGAACTCTAGGCCCCAAACCCTAAACCCAAAACCCTGAACCCTGAACCCTAAACCCTAAACCCTAAACCCTAAACCCTAAACCCTAAACCCTAAACCCTGAACCCTAAACCCTAAACCCTAAACCCTAAACCCTGGACCCAACTCAGGAACGGCCTCGCCAAGTTCGGCTTCCGCGACGAGCTGCTCCTGCGGAGCCTCCTCCCGACCCTGCTGCGCCGAATAACGGAGAAGTCGAAATGGGAGGAGCCCCTCCTGGGGTTTAGGGGTTCAGGGTTCAGGGTTTAGGGTTCAGGGTTTGGGGTTTAGGGTTTGGGGTTTAGGGTTTAGGGTTGAGGGTTTAGGGTTTAGGGTTTAGGGTTGAGGGTTGAGGGTTGAGGGTTGCAAGGTTCTAAGACCCCCCAAAATCTCTACACGTTTTGCCCTGCCTCAACGCTGAAACCTGAGACCCTCAGACCCCAAACCCTAAACCCTAAACCCTAAACCCTAAACTCTAAACCTAAACCCTAAACCCTACAAGCCCCAACTGCCTTCGAGCTCTTCAAACCCTGAGAGGATTCGGGGTTTCGGGTAAACCTACAGCCCTTTACAAATAAACCCCTATAAACCCTAAACGCTAAACGCTAAACGCTAAACCCTAAACCCTAAACCCTAAACCCTAAACCCCAAACCTTAAACCTTAAACCTTAAACCCTGAACCCTAAACCCTAAACCTTAAACCCTAAACCCTAAACCCTAAACCCCAAACCCTAACCATGCCTCAAGCCTCAAGTTCTGAACTTCGCCTTTGCCCGCGACCCTCGGCCAGGACTTGTCGCTCTTGGCGCTCTCGTACGCAAGGCGCCAGCCTCGGTTAACGGGAACTCGAAACCCTATGAAGCCCAAAAGGGTTTAGGGTTTAGGGTTGAGGGAGGGTTTAGGGTTTAGGGTTAGGGTTTAGGGTTTAGGGTTTAGGGTTTAGGGTTTAGGGTTTAGGGTTTAGGGTTTAGGGTTTAGGGTTCAGGGTTTAGGGTTTAGGGTTTAGGGTTTAGGGTTCAGGGTTTAGGGTTTAGGGTTTAGGGTTAACAACCTTGAACCCCTCAGAGCTCTGCAACCTACTCCCGAAACCCTAAACCCTGAACCCTGAAGAACCCTGCACCCCAAACCCCCAAACCCCGAAACGTAGCCCCGAAACCATCGTCATGGGGATCTCCGGGCCCCTTTATCTTTGCAACAAGGGTGCACGCTGTTGGGCCCCGAACTTCCCCCAAACGCTTCAAGAAAGGAGCAAGGCAAGCCCGAAACCCTAAACCTTCAGCCCCCGAACCCGGAACCCTAAACCCTGAACCCTAGTACATATAAGGCGCCCCACCTTGAAGCTTTTGGGCTGATCTCGACTTGGTGGGATCCGCTTCAGGGATTCAGCTTGCTTGAGGACGGAAGGTTTAGGGCTGGTTGTTTGGGGGGCGGGGGGGGGGGGTGTAGGTTGTAGGGTTTACGTAAACCCTAAACCCTGCACGCTTAAACCCCAAGCCCCAAGATCCTGAGCGCTACGCTCTAAGCCCTAAGCTGGCGCCTCCCTCGGAGGCTGTCGGACCCCTCGCAAGCTTTGGTCTTCGATCGCATCATCGCCTCCTTGGTCCCGCGCCGCTCGGCGGGCAAGCAGGGGTTTGGGAGCTTTCGGTGGCTTGGTTGGTAGGGTTGAGGGTTTGGGGTGTGGGGTTTAGGGTTTAGGGTTTGGGGCTTGGGGTTAGGGTTTAGGCTTTCGGGGCTGTTTAAGGGCAGGGCTGGACCCTATGTCCGAAAGATCCCTCAACCCTGTAAACTTCCCTCAGCCTCCGCTAGGCTGGCCCAAGTCACACCCGATCCCAAGTCAAACCATTCCTGTTCCTGTAAGGTATGGATCGCATCGATGATGGTCACGCGCTCTCCTTGCTGGCCATTGCCTTCACGCGCACCGCCACGGGACGGTGCGCTGGAAAGGGGTGGGGGTGTGCCGAAGCGAGGAACCTAGAGGTTTCGGGTTTAAGGTGATGTGCCCGAAACTTGGGCACTGTTCAGAATAATTCGGGAGCACCCTCTTTCGGGCTTGCTGGGTTGAGTTCGATGAGTTTCATGTGATTGAGGATGCAGAGTTTAGGGCCGTTTAGGCCTTGGGGTTTGGGGTATAGGGTTTAGGGTAACCTGACCTGATCTCGAGCTTGTGGAAGAGGCCAGTAGGCCTACTCCCTTTGCAGTTTCACTTGCCTCCTCAGTACCTGCAAGAAGACTGTTACGTTATCAAGATCCTTGATTACCCGTCCACACATCCCTCCTCCCTTTGCTGAAGCCACAAGAGCCGGAACCAGGGAAGACGACGTCGAGTCTGCAGGCGCGCAGTTGCAAGCCCTAAACCCTCAACTTAAATCGTAAACCCTAAACCCTAAACCCTAAACCCTAAACCCTAAACCCTGAACCCTAAACCCTAAACCCTAAACCCTAAACCCTAAACCCTAAACCCTAAACCCTAAACCCTAAACCCTAAGCCCTAAACCCTAAACCCTAAGCCAGAACCCCAGCTCAGCGAGACTCGGCTTCATGTCGGGGAGATCCGGTGTCGGACCGCAAGCCCACAGGATGCCCTAAACCCTAAACCCTAAACCCTAAACCCTAAACCCTAAACCCTAAACCCTAAACCCTAAACCCTAAACCCTAAACCCTAAACCCTAAACCCTAAACCCTAAACCCTAAACCCTAAACCCTAAACCCTAAACCCTAACCCCGAAACCCTAACCCCTAAACCCTAAACCCTAAACCCTAAACCCTAAACCCTAAACCCTAAACCCTAAACCCTAAACCCTAAACCCTCGGCCCCAAACCTGCGGCCCTGAGGCTTGGAGTTTCAGCTGGTCCGCAGAACTACATGGGAGGATGTCCGAAAAATCCAGGTACCCCAAAGTACAACAATCCTGTTGACAAGAACCCCCCAAAAAGGGTACCCCTATGTTCGGAACCCTAAATGCAGTCTTTGGGGTTGAGTAGGGGATTTTCCGGGATCCGGGTTGGGGTGGCAGCCCGGCGAGGCGACTCCAAGCCTTTCGCAGAAGACTTGCTGCAGCCGCTCTTCCTCCCGACCCAGGCGGGCGCCCTGAGGGAACGAAGAGAAACGGGGCGAGCTCTTTGTGACTCAGTCTACTTAGTATCCCCTGCAAACCCTCTTATGATCCCATAACCAACCTTGCTAACCCTACTTACTAAATCAAAAAGGCCTCCAAGTCTAAAATAGCCCTCTATGTCGAGAGGTCCCGGCAGAAGTCGAGATCTCCAACCGCGCGTTCGTGGAAGTCTTGCTGGAGCAGTGTGTGCGCCCGAGGAAGGGCGCCCGAAACCCCCAAAAAACCCCAACCCCCCCTTTAGACCCTAGACCCTAGACCCTAGACCCTAGACCCTAAACCCTAAACCCTAAACCCTAAACCCTAAACCCTAAACCCTTCAAATTCAAACCCTAAGCTCCCCCATGAAGCCTGCAAGCCCAGGTGAGCGACACATCTTCTCCTTCAAGGGCTCTGACGCCGCTTTCCTGCACTCTGAGGTCATCGAGGTCTTCCTTAGGGTTTAGGGTTTAGGGTTTAGGGTTTAGGGCTTAGGGTTTAGGGTTTAGGGTTTAGGGTTTAGGGTTTCATCTAACCAACCGCTGACCCCCCAGGTGCTGCACCTGTGCCTGGCCTTGGCGAACTTGGTTCGCACTGGCAACGAAGACGCCATCGCGCTGGGCGCTTGGTTTAGGGTCTAGGGTTTAGGGTTTAGGGTTTAGGGTTTAGGGTTTAGAAGGCTTTCAGATTCGAGGTTGGCTATTGGTCCTATTGGGTCCCTTACGTCCTTCTGAAATGGGGTTTCAGCCACTGAAGCGGGGAATGTCCTGAAAGTAGGCTTTGCTTACTTGGGGGTTCTTGTAAGGTTTGGAGTCTTTGGATACAAAATACAGCAATGGCATCCCCCCCCAAAGCCTAAACCCCAAGCCCCCAACCACCCTTTATTTTGAGTTATTGTTACAGATCACAGAACGGTTTAGGGTTTAGGGTTTAGGGTTTAGGGTTTAGGGCAGATGAGAGAAGCCCGAAGCTCCCTCTAGCAGCTCAGCGTGCCCAGACCTCGGCTCATCCCGCGGCTGTGCAAGCGCCTGGAGGCGCCCCCTTGCCCCGAAAGGGCGGGGAGGTGGTTTGGGGGTTTGGGGGTTTGGGGGTTTGGGGGTTTGGGGGTTTGGGGGTTTGGGGGTTTGGGGGTTTGGGGGTTTGGGGGTTTGGGTTGGGGGTTTGGTTTTTCTTCTTTTGGTTCCTAGCCCTCTCGGCGCGCACAAGAAAAGCACAGCAGTCCTTCAGCCAAGCAAGGAGCCCTGCAATGTACAGTGTACAGGGACGGCCCGCAGGTGCAGGAAACATTCGTTGCCGAGTGCCTGGAACATAAGCGTTGCACAACGGTGGTCGCAGCCTTTCACGCCGAGGCTCAGAGATTAGCCGGTGGCCCAAAATAACCCGGAAGCCCCAAGACTCGCAAACTTACAGGCTTAAGCCCCAAAGCTTCCAAACCTGAAGCAAATCTAAGCCCCAAGGCCCAAAGCCTTAAAGCCTAAAAGCCCAAGAGTCCTAAACCCCAAAAGTTCTGAACCCTACAAGCCTGCTACTTAAGGGGGCCCCCAAAACCAACAGAAACCTTAAACCCCAAACCCTAAACCCTAAACCCTAAACCCTAAACCCTAAACCCTAAACCCTAAACCCTAAACCCTAAACCCGAAAAATGTGCACGCACGAGGTGCTCTACTACGACCTCGTGCCAGGGCAGTTCGTTCGCTTCCTGGAGCTCTTTCCCCTCCTGCCGGAAGTGGAGGCCAAGGGTTGGCAGAGCCTCCGATCTCCCTTCAACCAGGGCTCCTGACATCCTTTATATGAAGCAGGGTTTATCTTGCTGTTGTTGCTGAGTGTATATAGGGTTTCCTTACTCGTGTTTGTGACTGTGTGTATGTATATATATATGTATATATGTATAGAGGGCGTTTCTGGGGATATCAAAAGCAATATGAACCCTACTTCAGAAAAAGCAATCGCCTTCGAATTTGCTTGGGAGGCCAAGTGTGGCCCTCGCATGCTGGATGAGTTGGTGTACCGCGCACGGGAGCTGATGCCCAAGCCGCAATCTCAACGCCGACCATCTCTACCCCTAAGCCCTAAGACTCTAAACCCCAAATCCTAAATCCTAAATCCTACATCCTAAATCCTAAATCCTGAACCCTAAAAGGTAAATCCTAAATCCTAAACCGCTTAAGGAACGCTGGGCAACTTCTTCTTTTGAGTGGCATGGGCGTCTTTCTTTCCTCAGCTTGAGGCGCCCTAGACCTGAACCCCTAAACCCTGAAAACCGAAAACCCACACCCCTCTAAACCCGGGACCCTGAACCCCTGAAACCCTACTTTCCTCAACCCTGAAGCCCCCGTACTTCCCTAAACCCTCAACGCTGAGCCCAAAGCCCTGAACCTTGGAATCCGCCGAGGTCCTGCCTGCCCATGCTCCGCGCCTCACTTCGGCTGAAGCATGCCATGGGCTTAAAGGGTTGAGGGTTCAAGGGTTCAGGTTTTAGGGTTCATGAGGTTCAAGAGTTTAGGTCAAGGGTTTAGGTCAAGGGTTCAGGGTTTAGGCTGGCTTCATGTTCGGCGCCACAAAAGGAGCCGGCCCCTATTGTTGAGGGGGGGAGGAGCAGCATCTGGGATTGTTCCCAGAAGTCTGATCAGTCCGAACCCCCCTGTGGTGGAGTGTTCCTCCTTCCAGTTGGGCTTCCCTGAGGTCGCGGGAAGGACCCTGAACCCTCAACCCTGAACCCTAAGCCCCCTAAACCCCTACGCCCCAAAACTAAACCGTAACCCTACTACTCTGAGCAAATCCTACCAGCAGCCTCCCAAGCGGTCCAGGCCCGAGGCCAGTCTGTGGCCGCGTGGCGGCTGACGCGGCAGGTGGGTTGGGCCCGGGGTTCAGGGCTTGGTTTAGGGCTTCATGGGGTCGAAGAGGCTGATCCTCAGAATCCCCCCCTACATCCTCCATAAATTCCCCTAAATCCCCCCTAAATCCTCCTTAAATTCCCTTAAATCCTCCCTTAAATTGCTGAGATCCCCCCCTAAATCCTCCTTATGTTCCCTTATATCATCCTCCCGAAGTCCTTTTGAAATCCCCTAGATCCCTCCTTAAATTTCCTGAGACCCCCCCCCTAAATCCTCCTAGTTCCCTAAGATCCCCTAAATCCTCCTTAAATCCCCCCTAAATCCTCCTTAGATTCCCCTCAATCCCTCCTGAAATCCCCTCCCCCTAAACTCCTAAACCCTAAACCCTAAACCCTAAACCCTAAACCCTAAACCCTAAACCCTAAACCCTAAACCCTAAACCCTAAACCCTCCAAACCCTCCAAACCCTCCGCGGCAAGGACGCGTCTCTTGGCGGCCCGGCAGTGCTGTCGGCCACGGAGTCGGGCTCGGGACCTTGGAGTGGGAACGGCTGCGGTTTAGGGTTTAGGGTTTAGGGTTTAGGGTTTAGGGTTTGGGTTTAGGGTTTAGGGTTTAGGGTTTAGGGTTTAGGGTTTAGGGTTTAGGGGTTAAAGGGCCGATGCCTAAACCGCTGGGGGGGGGGGAATGGGTCGCGGGCGCGTGGCTGTAGGACGCCACACAGCCGGCGTATTGGAGGATCTCTTACGGAGGCTCTTGGGGTTGAGGGTTAGGAGCACGAATGAAAGCCCTAAACCCTGAACCCTAAACCCCCGAACCCTGAACCCCAAAGTCCTAAAACCTTTCTACCATTACCCAAGAAGGGGGGCCCTGAAGACAACTTGCCTGAGGCGAGGTTGCCGAGATGTTGGTCCAGGTGGCGCTGCCGCACAGGAGCACAGGGTTTTTGGGGGCTCAGGGTCTGGGCTCCAGTGTTTTTTCGCCACTGGAGTGCGCCCTGTCAGCACTTGGGTTTTAACCCCCCCCCCCGGCCCCCACGTAGAAACTCGAGATTGGCTGACAAGTCAGATGTGGGCTTTCTAGGGTCTGAAGGTTGAACCTAAATCTCTTCTGTGTCAGATGAGCGGTCAGTTCTCTGGGTAGATGCTTCGAGGCCTTCCATCTACTTAAAAACCAAACCCCCGAACCCTAAACCCCAAAAAGGAAGCCCAAACCCCAAAAACCCTAAGACCCTGCCCTAAACCCTAAACCCTAAACCCTAAACCCTAAACCCTAAACCCTAAACCCTAAACCCTAAACCCTAAACCCTAAACCCTAAACCCTAAACCCGAACCCCTAAAGTGCGTCAACGTTTTGGTTTCCAAGCGGGCCGCGCGACAGGACCGACTCGGGAGCTGACGAGCCAGCAGCTGCAGGCAGGGAGCATGGCTTAGGGTTTAGGGTTTAGGGTTTAGATGCTCGGCTTGGAGGTTCATGGTACTTATTAACCAATTATAACTGTACTAACTAGGGCTTAGGGCTTAGGGTTTAGGGTTTAGGGTTTAGGGTTTAGGGTTTAGGGTTTAGGGTTTATTTGCCAATTATACCTGTACCTATAACCCACTTACAAGCCCCTTAAGTGCCCTAATATGGTTATAAGTGCAGTTAGAAGTTAGAAGTACAGTGATAATGGGTTAATAAGTACCATGAACGTCCAAGGGGTGTTTGCGGTTTGCGTTTATCCGAGAGAACAGCCATACGCGTATGTGTACATGCAGACATGCAGATGTACCGGTGTATGTACAGTATGGTGAATTATTATGTATGTGCATATTCATACGCATATGCATATGCATATATATATATATATGTATATGTATCTATGCTCTGTTTAAGCTTGTTTCTTAATGTTGTGTAAGTTTCTTGTCTTTCCAAGAGTATCTATTGTCTTTGCAATACGCACAAGACAGTGCTATAGTTTGATCCGTACGGCATGGTATCTTACTAGCTGTATCCGGTTCCAACAGCGTAACAGTGTACGAAATGTTTTCAATGGTCCGTCCTTGTTGTTTCATTGCACTTGTAGTCGCACTACTTATCCTCTTTAAGAAGTACCTGTGCTTTGAGACGGGGGAGCATGGGTCGACATGCTTGGGCGTGGAGCTTGCAGGCTGGAGAAGCACTGCAGGTTGCGTAGAGCCCTTTGCCAGGAAGACATCCTCAGACACACAACAGCTTGGTGGCATATGATTTATATATGACTTGGGACTCAGGGTTTTGTTTTGTCGCCTTCCTTTTTCGGCGAAGTGGTGTTGCTTGGCAGGTGATGCGAGGGACAGTGACGTACTGCTTTGGGAGGCAGGAGCGACGTGCGAGGGTCCATCACCCTAAGCCACAGGGCCCTGCTGCACACCCGAATCCTTCCCACGACCCCCGAACCCGAAGCCCGAAGCCCGAAAATCCGTGGCATATCTGCTCTAGGAGTGGCTCGTCTTTCTCGTTGATCCCAAGCCTCACCCTCCCCATGGGGTCTGGAGTTTCGGGGCTTAGGACCATGCCCTGAACACCCAGAACACAATAACTCACTGCAGGTGCCAGCCCCCCTCAAGCCCTCAAAACCCTATACCCACCCCCCAAACAAAAAAACAAAACAAAGAAAATGGCAAAAGAACATGAACAACAGCCCCCCCCCCCCCCCCCCCAAAAGACCTCAAGAGCCTTTTAAGGCTCCGAAATACAAGCATCCTCAATCCTCAGCCCATAAAAACCCAGAAAGAAACAAGAACAAGGAAGCAAGCCCTAAATTCAACCCAACCTTGAACCCTAGAACCCTAAACCCTAAACCCTATACCCTACAACCCTAAAACCTTAAAACCCTAAAGCCCTGCAACCCTAAACCATAAGACCCAAAAACCCTAAAGCCCTAAGACTCTAAAACCCTAAGCCCCTAACACACCTAGAACCCCCAGAACCCCTACACCCCTAAACCCTCAAACCTCAAACCCTAAACCCTAAACCCAAAACCCAAAACCCTAAACCCTAAACCCTAAACCAGAAAAAAGGCCCGAGAAGCGCTCCTGGTTCTCCTCCAGGGCTTCCGGCAACGGAACTTGGTGCCTCGGCGGGGAAGAGATTGTTGGGGTTTAGGGTTTAGGGTTTAGGGTTTATAGAAATTGTGTAGGGTTTGTGTCCGTTGTTTTGACGGGGTTTTGACGGAGTTTTGACGGGGTGTTGACGGGGTTTTGACCGGTTTTTTCTTTTGCTTTGGAACAAAATTCGATGGCTTTCCAGGCTTGGGGGAGGTGGGGGGGGTGGGTGGGGGGGGGTGGGAGGGCTTGCAGGGCTGGAGGGGCTGGGCTTGGGGGGTTCTGGGAGGCTGTGGTGGGCTCTGGCAGCTCTGGAAGGCTCTGAGTCTCTGTGCAGGCCTCTCTTAAGGGGGGCTGGGTCGATGATTTTGCTGGATCAAGGATTATTGCACGAGCTGCTCGTAATGAAACGCCTACAATTTCTGTTTATCCTGGCCTTGAGGGTTTAGGGTTTAGGGTTTAGGGTTAAAGGTTAAGTTTAGGGGTTGAGGGTTTAGGGTTGAGGGTTGCACCAGAGGTCTAGCAGGGCTCTTGTTGGTTTTGTTGTTCTAGGTTTTTTTCTGGTTCGCTTTAGGGTTGCTCCTAGACTTCAGAGCTTCAGAGGTTCGAGGGCCCCCTAGGTGTTCGCTGTTAGGTTAAACCCTAACCCTAAACCCTAAACCCTAAACCCTAATCCCTAAACCCTAAACCCTACACCCTACACCCTACACCCTAAACCCTAAACCCTAAACCCTAAACCCTAAACCCTAAACCCTAAACCCTAAACCCTAAACCCAAACCCTAAACCCTAAACCTTAAACCCTAAACCCTAAACCCCAAACCCTAAACCCTAAACCCTAAACCCTAAACCCTAAACCCTAAACCCTAAACCTCGGTCCCAAGCCCCAACCCACAACACTTGAAGCCCTATAAGCCCACCCCCCCCCCCCGAGAGCTCTTTATAACCTCTTCAGAAAGAAACATACCTTCATTCAGATTAAGGATCCCTATGTATATCTGTATATATGTTTCTATGTATATATGCATATATGTGTACAAGCTCAAAAATTTTAAGCCCTTTAATTAAGGAATAGACCTTCATTCATGTTAAGGATCCCAGTATAAATGTAAAAACCCATGGGCTTAATTCCAAAAGCGAGGGGAACCCTAAACCTTAAACCCTAAGCCCGAAGTCCACGGAAGATCACGGGGGGGTTTGGTGCCCTAAGCTCTGAGGAGTATGACCTCATCAAACGAGGACTCCCCTCCAAAACCCTTTCCTCAAGCACAACTTCCAACACCATCCTTGAAAGGGACCCGAGGCCCAACCCTGAACTCTGAGCCCTAAATCCTATACCCTAAACCCTAAATCCTCAACCCTAAACCCTAAACCCTAAACCCCCCCCCCCCCCCCAAAGAAAAAGAATAAAAAATAATAATATAAAAAAAGGAGCCACGGCATAGGAGCCCAAGCCGGAGATCCTCGCCGGCCTGCTCCACAACGCGGCGCTGCTCTCGGTTCGGGACATGCCCCTCGGCTGCCTAGGGAGGGGTTTTCGGGCCGGTGTTGTATGTAGGGTTTAGGGTTTAGGGTTTAGGGTTTGGGTTTAGGGTTAGGGGTTAGGGTTTGGGGTTTATGCAAGACATCGTGCACATCCGATGATCCAGAAGCAGTCGACTTGTGGAGCCACTACGGCACAGACTAAAAAATAAGTCTGAGCCCCGAAGCCGGAAGCCCTAAACTCCCAAAAGCCCCCCCAAAGCCGCCCAAGAGGTGCTGGTTCCAGCTGTGCCAAAGGCTCATGGCCCTGACCTTACAGGAATTTTGGGGGCTTGAAGAGTTTGGGGGTCCCGGTTTAAAGGTTAGAGATCCGGAGTTTCAAGGGTTTTGGGTTTGGGATGATTCTCAAGTTGTCTTTGGGGCTTAGGTTTCGGGTTGGGATGTTTCCCCTTTGCACTAACAGTCCTTCAAAGGTATTATAGTATGGGGTATAAAAAACTTCACCCCTATTCAGGACTGTTAGTACAAGGAAAAATAAGGGGGAACATCCCGAGCTGTGGATTTGAAATCTCTGGGGCTTGAGCCTTTCAACCCCATAAACTCCAAGAGCTTCCATACCGATAAGGGGGATTAGGGCTAAGTTCAGCAATCCCTTTTGGAGGTCTGTCGTACGGGGGCTTTCAGAGGCTCGGGAAGCTTTTCGGGATTCAGGAGTTTTGGCCAGTTTTATCCCTTATCAGAACCCAAAACCGAAGCCCAAAGGCCGAAAAACGAAGGCCCCAAAAACCCTAAACCTAAACCCTACTTGGAGATTCATGGGTACTTCTAACTACAGTTATACGTCTACTTATACCCTACTTAAGGGGACTTCAGGGGCTTACAAGTACAGTTATATTTAGGGTGAAAAGTACCCTGAGCCTGAACCTCCAAGTACCACCCTAAGCGGAAGTCCCTAGGTGCCGAGTGCTTCGCACCCAAAGAGAGCATCGCACAGCCCGGCGCCAGTTCCTGTCGAAGGCATCGAGGAAGTTTTGTCGGAGGCCAGGCTCAGTACCCAAAGCGCCCTTAATACCCTTTAAATTGAGGGATCTGTGAGTTTCGGGTTTAGGGTTTAGGGTAACATGGCTTGAATTGTATAGGGATGCTGAATATGGTTTAGTTTAAATTCTTGATTTCAGGGGTACTGGGCTCTTCGGGTAGTTCGGTGTTTAGCGTTTAGTTGGTTAACCCCCCAGGCCCCGAAAAGAAGGGCCCATAAAAAGCTTAACGGCATTTGGGTCACCAAATAGCGCACATGAGTTTGGTGAGTCACCAAGTAGCACATGAGTTTGGTTAACTTTCGGGTGCATGATTCAGGGTCTTAGGGTCTCTGAACCCCAGGCCAAGGTAGCCCCAAAGGAGCTCCATGCCTTCAGCAAATCAAGTTGGCGCCTGTGGATGTGTCTGGAAGCTGTCGGTTGAACGATGTCGACTGCACTGCTCCCTCAACCCCAGCATCTCTAGAAGCCCAGATTCCCTAAGCCCCAGAAGCCTTCCTGCCCAAAACGCTTGAAACCCGAAAATATTCCCTCAGCCTGAAACCCCTAACCCTAAACCCTAAACCCTAAGCCCTAAACCCTAAACCCTAAACCCTAAACCCTAAACCCTAAACCCTAAGCCCTCCCCGCTTGCTGCCTCCGCCGCGCCAGGCGGACCTGGCGAAGGCCGCTCTAGCCTTAGCGCGGCTCTCCTTGCCGCAGCTGGTCGACGGGGCCTCCCTGTTTACCAGGCTGGGGGGGGGGGGGGGAGACCCGAAACCTTAAACGCTGCAGAGAGCGCCTGCTTGGCATGACTGACCGACACGGGTTCACTTCAGCAGAGCGTCCCAAACCCTAAGATCAAAACGGCTACGTTGCGCGAGGGCAGCTGCGATGGTGCGCCAGCCCTCATCAGCCATCTCTGTGCTCGAGGTGGGGGACCTCTTTTGCTTTGTGTTTGGCTCAGGGGGGCCTTACTTACTATTCTTCGTTCTTAGCAGGGGATGTAGGGAATCCGAGCAGGCAATAGCCCAGGGTCTCATGGAACAAGCTTCCAGGAACTACCAGGCAGACGATGGACTCAAGATGGACTCAGACTGACAGGATGGTGGCACAGCGGGCGATTTGTAGTTGGAGGATGGTTGCACGGCGCAACTAAACCCTAAATCCTAAACCCTACCCTAAACCCCAAAGCCCAAACCCTAAACCCTCAATCCCAAACCCTAAACCCTAAACCCTAAACCCCAAACCCCAAACCCCAAACCCCAAACCCCAAACCCCAAACCCAAAACCCTAAACCCTAAACCCTACGCTTCTGAGACCAACGCTGCCAGGCAGCTTCGATCTTTAGCCTCACCGAGCGGCGGCCGCAGGCCCCTACGTGAACCCTGGCATCCTTTGGGCCTTTAAATTGGGGGGGTTTAGGGTTTAGGGTTTGGGGTTTAGGGTTTAGGGTTTGGGGTTTAGGGTTTAGGGTTTAGGGTTTAGGGTTTGGGGTTTAGGGTTTAGGGTTTAGGGTAGTTTAGGGCTTGCAGGGTTTGCAGGGTCTAGGGTTTGGGGTTTGGAGTGTTCTGAATTTCGGGTTTGGATTTGAAGGGGGTTCTATTTCAAAACCTACCCCCCCCCCCTTGAGCCGAGGCCAGAATTCTTACATAGGTCTGCCACCCATTGGAAGCCGCCACCTTCGATCCGCAGACCCGAGCCCCAGAGACTCCAACCTTAGGATGTTCTGAGTTTAGGGGTTTAGGGTTGAGGGTATAGGGTTTAGGGTTTCGGGTTTGGGGGTGGGGGGACTCTGAAGGGGCAACTCTAGCTACTATCTACTTCGTGTGGTAACTGCCACTGTAACCTTGCACTCTAAGTCCAAAACCGTTTAAAGCCACGCGCGTGCAAGCCGCTCGCCTTCTGCTTCTGTGAGGACCTCGCGCCAGCAGCTCTCGTGCCGTTGGTCCGCGTGGTAAGCGAAGGGCGAAGGACCGCTTGGCACCAAGAAGTTTCGAGCGCTGCATACACACAAAGCCCCAAGCCCTAGACTCTAACTCCTTGACCCGAAGCCCTGAACCGTTTTTGCACCCTGCACTTTCAACCCTAAAGTCGACTCGCGCATCTTTGCTGAAGTCATGAGTCTCCCTCCCCCCCCAAACCCTAGCCCTAGATTCCTAGATGCAACAAGGCCTCAAGGGCTTGGGGGTCTAGGGTCGAGGGCCCTCCGTGCTAAAGCAGGGGAGGATCGTTTGCAACGATCGAGATTTCGATTCCAAACTCCGAAACCTCCTCGGGCTTGCCTTGTGAAGGTGGTTTAGGGTTTAGGGTTTAGGGTTTAGGGTCCCTTGGTCCGGTTCATGGTGAAACTGAAGTTTAGGGTCTCAGTTGGGTTTGGACATTGAAACTCTAAACCCGAAACCCTAAACTCTCAGCCTTTCAAATCCCAAACCCTAAACCCCTGACCTTGCCTCCCCCCCGTCTTGGTTCTATTTTGGCCCCCCGGCCCCATCAACCCAAAACCATAAACCCTCAAACCCTGAACGCTAAACCGGTTTATGAGGCCTCCACCCTGCCCAGTCTCGCCCTTGCCAGGGAGGCGGCCTGCGACGCGGAGGCGGCCTGCGCGCAGAATGCGCTCCTGGCTCCTGGCTTGTCGGGTTTAGTGTTTCGGCTTGTGAAACATCCCTGCTTTCTTGTTAAGGAAGCCTGTTCTATCCAGCAAGTAACTCTCACATATGCAGTAGACCCTGAACGCTGAGATCCGATGCCCGAGAGATTCCTCTGTAAACCTCGAAGCCGCCCCAAGCCCCAAACCCCAAACAATTGCCCCAAACCCTGAACACGAAACCCTAAACCCTAAACCCTAAACCCTAAACCCTAAACCCTAAACCCTAAACCCTAAACCCTAAACCCTAAACCCTAAACCCTAAAGCTAAACCCCAAACGCTATATATATATATATATATATATAAACCCCCTCAACCCTAAACTTGCTTCCTGCACCGCCTATCTGAAGAAAGATGACTTGTAAGTTCTTAGTAGGGAACGAGGACATGTAGGTACTGTGCATGTATGTATATGCATATATATGGTCACCCCCCCCCCCTACGACAGACCCTGGAATTGCATTTCCAGTCTGTCCAGGAAGGGGGCGGAAGACCAACACTCCAAAATTCCTCGAGTTTCCAAAAATCCAAAAACCCAAAAAACCCAACCCAAGTTTCGGATTTTTGGAAACTCGAGCGGGAGCCTCAAAATCCAAAAATCGAACAAAATCCTCGAGTTTCCAAAATTCCAAAAATCCAAAAACTCCAACCCAAGTTTCGGATTGTTGGAAACTCGAGCGGGAGCCTCAAAATCAAAAAATCGAGCAAATTCCTCGACTTTCCAAAATTCCAAAAACCCAAAAATTCCAACCCAAGTTTCGGATTTTTGGAAACTCGAGCGGGAGCCTCAAAATTCAAAAATCGAGCAAATTCCTCGAGTTTCCAAAATTCCAAAAATCCAAAAATTCCAACCCAAGTTTCGGATTTTTGGAAACTCGAGCGGGAGCGTCAAAATCCAAAAACCGAGCAAATTCCTCGAGTTTCCAAAATTCCAAACCTTGGGGTGATTTTTTTGGATTTTTGGAATTTTGGAAACTCGAGGAATTTGCTCGATTTTTGGATTTGGAGGCTCCCGCTCGAGTTTCCAAAATTCCAAAAATCCAAAAACTCCAACCCAAGTTTAGGATTTTTGGAAACTCGAACGGGAGCCTCAAAATCCAAAAATCGAGCAAATTCCTCGAGTTTCCAAAATTCCAAACCTTGGGGTGTTTTTTTTGGATATTTGGAATTTTGGAAACTCGAGGAATTTGCTCGATTTTTGGATTTTGAGGCTCCCGTTCGAGTTTCCAAAAATCCAAACCTTTGGGGTGGATTTTGGGATTTTTGGAATTTTGGAAACTGGAGTTTGGATAAGATTTTTTCAGGGGTTCGTATATGATTCCTTATTATGATTTAGGCTGCCTATTCAATTTTAGAATACTCCTGTTCACTTTAATGGGGGTCCTTATTTAATGAATAAGATTCCTAATCATTTTACTAGCATTCAAAGTGATTTTCAATAGGGTTCCTGTATTTGTTTAATGAGGTTCGTATTGAATTTTAAAGGATGCCTATTAAAGGGCTTTATTGGGTTTAAGATTGATTCCTGTTCATTTTACTCAAATGCCAAGTAATTTGAATACGATTCTTAGTCATTTTAATAGCACTCTTATTCCTAGTTAGTTTTAATAAAAGTTTTAATAAATTAGCCTAAGGATTTTAATAAGCATCATAACAAACTTTAAACATATTCCTATTAATGTCAATAGGCTTCTTGTTCATTTTCATAAGATGTCGTACAATTTCTAATTGGATTCCGTTTGCTTTGACAAGCTTCCTATTCATGTAAAAAGGCTTCTGATTAATTGGAATAGGCTTCGTATTCATTTTGGCAGGGTTTCTCATTCATGTTGACAGGATTCCTAATAATGTTCATAGGATTCCTACTAGATTCTAAATCCTGTTCCCTATTCATTTCACTTGGACTCGAAGTAATGTTATTGTAACTCTTATTAATTTTATTAGCAATCCTATTTATTAAAAGTTTTAATAGGGTTCATCATAGTTCTAACAGTACGACTCTTATTGTTTTAAGTTTTAAAGCGTCCACGTTACTTTTTTATAGAAATTTATTGGCTCCTCTTAATCTTTTACTAGGATTCATCTTCATGTTAAACGGATTCCTGTTACTCTTAAAATAATTCATAGATTCTTTTGTAGGGTTCCTATTAATTTTAATAGTATTCCTATGAATTCAAAAGGGTTCCTATTCATTTCAATGGCCTTCCTATGATTCCTCTGAATTTAGGACTCCAAGAAAATTTAATAGGAGCCCTGTTAATTTAATAAGCTTCTACGTATTTCAACCAGGTTCTTATTGATTGTACTAGGATTCTTACTAAGTTTTCACAAAAGACTCGTCTCAATTTCAATAGGGTTCTCATTCATTTTAATGGGTTTCCTATTGGTTTAAATGGGATTCCTATTGAACTCATACGAACCCTATGAATCCTATTAAATTTTAATAGGAACCCAAGTAAAACTAACAGCAATCTTATTGAAATTAATAGCAATCCACGATGTCCAGCAAATTGTTCAGGTCACTTCTGTTTGAGCACTCGCTCGAGCAATTGCTGAGTGGATCAAATTATGTGAATTAAGCTTTTTGGAATCAACGAAGTTAACGAAAGTGTTTGAAATCAATTACGGTAGACAAATCTGTGAAGTTGAGTAAATATTTAATGAATTAGTAAAACCCTACCATGACCAAACTGGCAGGCCGATCTGTCGGACTTCAGGGAAGAGCATATGGAGACTTTTTTTTTGGGGGGGGGGAGGTACCATATATAGATATACACACATATATATATATATGTATATATCTATTGTTTGTGAACGTGTCTGGCTGCTGTGTGCAGCTATGCTGTCCGTAGCCTTTTTTTCGCTTCCGGGGTCTGTCGTAGGGGGGGGGGGTGAGCATATATATATATATATATATGTATATATTGATTTCCTTATACATATCCGATTTTTCGTGTGTATACATATGCATATGTCTGCATATATATTTCTAGATAGACATGTCAGTTCTATGGGGAACTAAGTACCTGGTCTCGCCCTTTGCTGCGCAGGCGGCCCCTGATTTGCCTCGACTTTTTCCCTTCACCCGGCTGCCGCAGGTGAGTTTAGGGTCTAGGGTTTAGGGTTTAGGGTTTAGGGTTTAGGGTTTAGGATTCAGAGTTTAGGGTCGAGGGCTGAGGGTTCTTAGGGAGGCCGACGCCCTAATCGATTTCTGTTGGGGTGTAGGTTGTTGGGCTTTCGGAGCCTACAGGCGGTGATTCGCAGTGTGGGGTGGTCACGGGTTCCGTGAACTCGAACGGCGAACTGCTCCTAAACCCTAAGCCCTAAACCCTATAAACCCTGAACCAGACACAGTAAGCCCTAAATCCAATCCGTTTTTCAGGGTGCCGGCAGTCATTTCACACCATTGCTTAGAGCTTTGACGTACTGCGCAAGCCTAAAGAGTCTAACCCAGATGCAGGGCATAAGCCTCTAGGAGGAACAGCCAGCAGGTTTGGGCACCCCAAACCCGAAACCCTAGATCCGAAACCCGAAACCCTAAACCCGAAACCCTAAACCCTAAGCCCTAAACTCTAAACCCTAAACCCTAAACCCTAAACCTTAAACCCTGAACCTAACTCTTGGCTGTTGTTCCTAAACCCTAAACCCTAAACCCTAAACCCTAAACCCTAAACCCTAAACCCTAAACCCTAAACCCTGAACCCGAAACCCTAAAACCTAAGCCCTAAACCCTAAACCCTAAACCCTGAATCCTAAACCCTAAACCCTAAAGCCTGAATCCTAAACAACGTACTTGCGTGGTGGGAGTCCTCAGGCCATGGCCGAGGACTTGCAGGCCTGCCCTTGCCGTGCCAAGTTGAACCAAAGCTCTGAGCCCCCCCAAAGGGTTAGGGTTTAGGGTTTAGGGTTTAGGGTTTAGGGTTTAGGGTTTAGGGGTAGGTTTTGGTGTTTAGGGTTGCAGAGTTTTAGGGTTTCAGGGGTTTAGGGGTTTAGGGTTTTAGGGTTTGGGGTTTTCGGGTTTTAGGGTTTGAAGTTCAATGTTTAGGGTTTTGGGCTTCTTGGTTTGGGGTTTAGGATTTGGGATTCAGGGTTTAGAGTTTGGGGTTGAGGGCTCCCGTCGCAGGCTGACTGGTGCGAGGCAGTGGCCACAGCGGCCGCGATGTCCGCAGCGGCGCGGACGAGGCGGAAAGCGGGCGGTTGGGGTTTAGGGCTTGCGTGCAGGGTTGTAGTTTTTTTCTTGGACCCTACATGCTAAGACCCCTGAAAGCAGTTGCCTAAACCCTAAACCCGAAACCCGAAACCCGAAACCCGAAACCCTAAACCCTAAACCCTAAACTCCCCCCTTGCCTAGGAGGCCTTGGTTCCAGGAGGTGGTCCTCCAGGCCCGCGCAGCACTCCGGAATCGCATAGGCCTATTGGGGGTTTCATGAGGTTTTGTGCCCGTTTAGGGTTTAGGGTTTAGGGACGTGTTCCGGGTTGCTATGAGGGTTACTTGAAACCCCAAACCCGTAAACTCGGTTCCCAAGAGTGGACCCAAACCCAGGGATCTTACTCGAGGTGTGGCCTTAGACTGGGTTACTCCTAAGGAACTGAACTTGAGTCACCACAATGTGTGATGAACATATATTGATAAATCAAAATGCCTTAAATCTACATTTGGTTTAACTACAAATAGAAAATATACAAATATGTATATATATATATATATGCTACCCCCCCCAGTGACCTACCCTTTTTAGGCCTTTTTAGGCCTTTTTAACAAAAAACTAGAAGAGGGATGGCCCGAAAGCATCGATTTGCCGTGCGTTGACTCCATGCAGTTGACTCTTTGCAGCCGAAGTGTATGCACTTGGACAAATGTATGCACTTACATGGTTGCATAGTCACTTGTGCACTGCACTTGTCTACTGGACGTGTATGCACTTGAACTGCATGGCATTCAAGTGTGTGGAGTTGAATGCCATGCACTTGTGGCCAACTCTTTACACTTCATCGGCATTGATTACAACGCCGAGCTCCGATGCTTCCACGGTGTACTGCGTTTGTACTACAAAAGTCGACTTTCCAGGCATGTTTTGGAACCAGCGAATTCGGGGGACCATGCTATTTGCGATGGTTTTGGAACCAGCGAATTCGGTGACCATGGTACTTGCGATGGTTTTGGAACCACGATATTTACGAGGTTTTCGAGGCCCCGGAATTCGAGTCCCATGATATTTGCGAGTTTTTCGAGGAATTCGAGTCCCACGATATTTGCGATGGTTTCGACATCCCGGAATTCGAGTCCCACGATATTTGCGAGGTTTTCGAGGCCCCGGAATTCGAGTCCCACGATATTTGCAAGGGTTTCGAGGAATTCGAGTCCCACGATATTTGCGATGGTTTCGACATCCCGGAATTCGAGTCCCACGATATTTGCGAGGATTTCGAGGCCCGGGAATTCGAGTCCCACGAAATTTGCGAGTTTTTCGAGGAATTCGAGTCCCACGATATTTGCGATGGCTTCGACGTCCCGGAATTCGAGTCCCACATGTCCGTGAATTCGGGGACCATGGTATTTGCGATGCTTTTGGAAGAGCGAATTCGGGGACCATGGTTTTCGCGATGGTTTTTGGAACCAGCGAATTCGGGGACCATGGTATTTGCGATGGTTTTGGAACCATCGAATACGGGGACCATGGTGTTTGCGATGGTTTTGGAAACAGCGAATTCGAGGACCATGGTATTTGCCATCGATGGTTTTGGAACCAGCGAATTCGGTGACCATGGTATTTGCGATGGCTTTGGAACAACCAGCAAAAGACAAAAACATCCCCGTGTCTTCACGCGCGCGGAAGTCCGTTACCATGCTATTTGCGGTGTTTTCAAGCTCCCAGATGTCGGTTACCGTGCTATTTGCGGTGTTTTTCAAGCGCCCAGATGTCCGTTACCATGCTATTTGCGGTGTTTTTCAGGCGCCCAGATGTCCGTTACCGTGCTATTTGCGGTGTTTTCATGCGCCCAGATGTCCGTTACCATGCTATTTGCGGTGTTTTCAAGCACCCAGATGTCCGTTACCGTGCTAATTGCGGTGTTTCCAAGCGTTACCATGCTCTTTGCGCTGTTCTCAAGCGCCCAGATGTCGAGCGCCCAGATGTCCGTTACCATGCTATTTGCGGTGTTTTCAAGCGCCCAGATGTCCGTTACCATGCTATTTGCGGTGTTTTCACGCGCCCAGATGTCCGCTACCATGCTATTTGCGGTGTTTTCATGCGCCCAGATGTCCGTTACCATGCTATTTGCGGTGTTTTCAAGCGCCCAGATGTCCGTTACCATGCTATTTGCGGTGTTTTCATGCGCCCAGATGTCCGTTACCGTGCTATTTGCGGTGTTTTCAAGCGCCCCGATGTCCGTTACCATGCTATTTGCGGTGTTTTCATGCGCCCAGATGTCCGTTACCGTGCTATTTGCGGTGTTTTCAGACGCCCAGGGCGGTACTACGTCTGTACTACAAAAAGCCGACTTTCCAGCCACGGAAGCACCGGGTGTCCCCGGCGTACTACGTCTGTACTACAAAAGTCGACTTTCCAGCCACGGAAGCTCCGGGTGTCCGCGGCGTACTACGTCTGTACTACAAAAGTCGACTTTCCAGCCACGGAAGCTCGCGGCTCGCGGCGTACTACGTCTGTGCTACAAAAGTCGACTTTCTAGCCACGGAAGCTCCGCGTGTCCGCGGCGTACTACGTCTGTACTACAAAAGTCGACTTTCCAGCCACGGAAGCTCCGGGTGTCCGCGGCATACTACGTCTGTACTACAAAAGTGGACTTTCCAGCCACGGAAGCTCCGGGTGTCCGCGGCGTACTACGTCTGTACTACAAAGTCGACTTTCCGGCCACGGAAGCTCCGGGCGTCCCCGGCGTACTACATTGTACTACAAAAGTCGACTTTCCAGCCACGGAAGCTCCGGGTGTCCGCGGCGTACTGCGTTTGTACTACAAAAGTCAACTTTCCAGCCACGGAACACTACGGTTTTAGCGCCGCGACCATGCGAACGCCCGCAGAGGGTGTCAGGAAACGCAGAAACACGAGGGTTTTGGCACCGCGCCAACGCCGAAACCCGCAGAGGGGTTACGTTTGTATGTCAAAAAACGCAAAAACTCCATGGTTTTGGCTCCGCGCCAACGCCGAAACCCGCAGAGGGTTGTCTGCGGCCACGAAAAAAAGTACCAGAAACGAAGGTTTTAGCGCCGCGACCCGGCGATCACCCGCAGAGGGTTGTCCGCGGACACAAAGAAACGTAAAAAAACGACGGTTTTGGCACCGCGACCACGCCGAAACCCGCAGAGGGTTGTCCGCGGCCACAAAGAAACGTAAAAAAACGACGGTTTTGGCACCGCGACCACGCCGAAACCCGCAGAGGGTTGTCCGCGCAAATCAAGAAACGTAAAAAAACGACGGTTTTAGCACCGCGACCACGCCGAAACCCGCAGAGGGTTGCAATCCCGATTGGCGATGTCAACCCAGCCCGCCGCCTTAGAAAGAGTAATTTTAATTTAGAAATCTAGGACTGGGTACGAAGGTCTAGTAAATTCTACGTAAATCTAGAAATTTGTATTCACTGATTACTAAACTCTATGCAATTCACTCTATGCAATTCACTCTATGCACTTCACTCTATGCACTTCACTCTATGCACTTCACTCTATGCACTTCACTCTATGCACTTCACTCTATGCACTTCACTCTATGCACTTCACTCTATGCACTTCACTCTATGCACTTCACTCTATGCGCTTCACTCTGTGCACTTCACTCTGTGCACTTGCCTCTATGCACTTCACTCTATGCACTTTGCTCTATGCGCTTCACTCTATGCACTTCGCTCTATGCACTTCGCTCTATGCACTTCGCTCTATGCACTTCACTCTATGCACTTCACTCTATGCACTTCACTCTATGCACTTCACTCTATGCACTTCACTCTATGCACTTCACTCTATGCACTTCACTCTATGCACTTCAGTCTATGTTGTTGTGTCAGGGGGCTCCGCACGGAAGAACCCTTAGCGATGCTTTCGGGAACAACAACGAAGGCCCAAAAGTCGCGTAGTTAATCACCGGGTAATGAAGGACAGTTACTGGGACACCCACCTCACAGACCCCGATAAGCCAGCATTGGATTAATCTACATTTTGAATCTGAAGCGGACAATGCTGTTTTTAGATGTTTAGATCTGTGTTTTTTCTATGCAAATTGTGCGTTTGAAGGGCAATTAATGTTTTGTTGAGCAACTAATTTATTTATACAATTGTGTTTGTACGAGGCAAAGTATTCATCAAATAGTGAAACATTTTTCTTGATTCTATGCGAATTTAACTACTAGAGCAATTATTAAGCAAAGAGCCCAATTTGACTCAAGTGACTACTATTTAAAGGAGCATACTCAACCAAGATACGAAATAGACACCATTCTCAACCAAAATATGGCAAAGTGTGCGTTTAAAGGGCAAATAATGCTTTGTTGAGTAACTGCTGTATTTATACAATTGTGTTTGTACTAGGCAAAGTATGAATCAAATACTATCTGAAAAGTCCACTGAAATACCTTATGTTTACATATTCATGAAACATTATTTATTTTTGCAATCATCATTCTATGCGAATTTAGCTACTAGAGTAAGTATTAAGCAAATAGCCCAATTTGACTCAAGTGAATACCATTTAAAGGACCATACTCAACCAAAATACGAAATAAGCACCATGTTCAACCAAAAAGTTGGCAAAGTGTGGTTTAAAGGGCAAATGAGCAACGAATGCATTGAAACAGTTGTGTTTATACCAGGCAACGTAAAATTGAAATACTATCTGCAAAGTCCACTGAAATACCTTATGTTTACATATTCATGAAACAGTTTTTTTGGCATATTCATTCTATGCGAATTTAACTACTCGAGTAATTCTTAAGCAAATAGCCCAATTTGACTCAAGTGAATACTATTTAAAGGATCATACTCAACCAAATACGAAATAAACACTAGCGGAAATGGAAGCGGTTCTACCTACATAACAAAGAAACAAAGATTGCTGAAGTATTCAATAAAGACCACTTACATATTATGTCTGAAAGGCACAATTTGCATAACCAAGCTTAAAAATGCACAATAATGGAGCTAGAAGCGGTTCGACTTACATAACGATGAAACAAAGATGTCTGAAGTATTCAATAAAGACAACTTATATACTATGTTTGAAAAACACAACTTGCACAATCAGGCTTTAACAATGCACAAGAATCCTACAAAAATACTTAGTGAAGGCCATACACAAGCAAATTCACAAATACAAAAAAACATCCAAAAGCGCAAGCTTTTCAGGAGAATCTCTGGTGAAGTTTGGATTATAGGGCTTTGGGGTATCCCTGGACGAGTAGGAGTCACTTTTCAAGCAAACAATTCTAAGCAATAGCTGCTTTTCTCAAGACAAGTATTGCAAATGCTGCTTCTAGATAATTAAGTCTACGCCCTAGGAAATACGCTATGTTGCACACCGAGTTTGCTTGCAGTGCAGCTGGGTGACTTGAGACAAGGCGAAAAAGGGCTGGGGGGGGGGGGGGTACCATACATATATATATGTGTGTATATATATATATGTGTATACATATATATATACCTACGTATATATATATAGAGTTTTGATTGACAAGGTCTGGGGCTTTAAAAGCCTTCGACATTTGCAGCGCTTTTGAATGCGAGAATTTTCGTGTAGTGGACCCGCTTTGTGGCATGTTCACGTGACAGGTTCCTCCTGATTTTGGGCCTCCCTCAACTACAAACTTAAACACGAAACCTAGGCCTCGAAACCTTGAGTTCTCCGGCACGGAGGAGCTCGCCTCCTGGGGCGAAGAGGTGGACCTACAGACGGACGTCGTTGCGGGGGGCCTGAAGTGGAACAGTGCGTTCAACCTATGCTTTGTATACGTGAGTGACGAGGTGCGAGGCACAAAGATGGCCTTGAAATAGCTTAAGGGTAAAAGCTTGAGTTTGCTGAGAGGCTCTCAGTTGTGCAGGTCCGGATGCATCCTGCGCGCAGGGCCACATTGCACGGGATACAGAGGGCATGCGTGGAAAGTGGATATTGGTGAATCCAGGTGGGCCCAATCTGTGTCCCCTTTGCCCTGAGCTTTGTGGGCTTGGACGAGCACCTCCGGTCCGGCTGCCCATCATTTTTTGCAGCTTGTGCAACACTCCTTGACCGTGTGACACCATCCAAACATTCGTTCACCGACCGCTCAAAAGCAAAGGGATAAGTGGCATCGAAATAAGGTTTAGAGTTTAGGGCTATGCATTCAGGGTATTTAGATGTCATTGGGGGTGCGCAACATCCGGAAGTCAAGGCGCACCAGCTCTCATCGATGCGGGTTGGGGCTTGGGTTCGGGCTTTTGGAGGTCTTCTTTAAACCCTATAATACCCTCAACCCTAAATGAACCCCTAAACCCTGCACCCTAAACTTAAAGCCCTAAACCTCTTTAGGGTTTGGGGGTTCAAGGTTGATGTAAAGGTCCGGTTTTGGGGGGACTCTCACTTTGCTGCGCTTTGTTCGTTGAGGGCTGCGGGACCTGGGCCCCTCCGGGGATTTTTTTAGTTCTAGGAGGCTCAGGGGTTTAGTAGGGTTGAGGTTCTCTTGTTGAGGTTCCTTTCCCTTAAGATTCCTAAGCCCTAAGTAAACCCTGAACTTGAAATTCCAAGAAACCCTAAAACAAAAAGGCCCCAAATCGTAAAATCCTTACCGGCCTCGAAAAACCCTAAAGCCCCGAAAGCCCCGAAAGCCCCGAAACCCCCGAAAACCCCGAAAACCCTGAACCCTAAACCCTAAACCCTAAACCCTAAACCCTAAACCCTAAACCCTAAACCCTAAACCCTAAACCCTAAACCCTAAACCCTAAACCCTAAACCCCGAATCAGCCGTGAAATCCGACGAGCTTGCAAGGCGCCGTCCCCTCGTCCCTGCGGCAGAGGAGGAAGAGGAGGTGCTCAGGGCTCAGGGGCTTCAGCGGTGTGGTTTAGGGTTTAGGGTTTAGGGTTTAGGGTTTAGGGTTTAGGGTTTAGGGTTTAGGGTTTAGGGTTTAGGGTTTAGGGTTTAGGGTTTAGGGTTTAGGGTTTAGGGGTTTGGGTTTAGGGTTTAGGATTCAAAGGGTTTAGAGTTTAGGGTTTGGGCTTTTGGTCTGGGGCCCTTGAAGTTGTGGCTCGGGGCCTCCGGGTTTAGGGTTTTGACTTTCAAGGCCAAACTCACACATTTAAGAACAAGAAGCCTTTGAGCCCTATGCTCTACTCCCCCCGAACCCCTTGAACCCTTACAACCCTGACCCCATAAACCCTAAACCCTAAACCCTAAACCCCAAACCCGAAACCCCAAACCCTAAGCAGCAAAAGCCCTGAACCCCTGGAACCCCTAAAGCCGGAGGACGCTCCCGACCCAGAGGCGCCATCCGAGCGCAGCGAGGCCGCCTATCCTGGCCTAGGGGGTTTCGGGTGGACGGTCGTAGCGGTTCAGGGTGTATGGCCTTTAGGGTTCAGGGTTTAGGGTTTAGGGTTTAGGGTTTAGGGTTTAGGGTTCAGGGTTCAGGGTTCAGGGCGTTGGGGTTTAGGGTCAGAGCCTTGGTAACTTAGCAGCTTGGGGCTTTATGGCCTCAGCAGCTTCTTGGGGGCATCTCTTGATTCCCTGAAGGTGCTGATGGCTTTAAGGGGACCCTACAACTCAGGGGAAACGAACCTTTGGGCGCGAAGCAAAAGAGGATCCGGCTGAGTGTGTCTGTTGGCCTCTAAAGAGCCATGCTCCTCTCACAGATTTAGGTTTTAGGGGCTTATCGCTGGTGTGGATCGTGGAGGATACCTAAAACCATCGATAGGGTTTGGGTCCCAATAAGTTTTGACCGAAAGTTTTGACCGAAACGTTTTGACCGAAAGTTTTGACCGAAAGTGGGCAAAGATCTGGAGAGATCAAGGAGAAGATCTGGGAGGGAGATCTGCGGGAAGATCTGGGGGGGATCTGGAGGGGATGACAGGAGGGGATAGAGGAGGGGAGGAGGTGGGGGGGGGGGGAAGATCTGGGGATGAGGAGGGGACGAGAGTTGGGGACAAGAGGGGAGGGGATGAGAGAGGAGGGGAAGGAGGGGACGAGAGGAGGGGAGGAAGGGGGGGGGGGGAGGAGGTTTGACCGAAACTAAAACATCGCATTTGTCATTGTGGGCACGGGCAAATCCTGGGGTCCCTTGCTGGTCCATTTTTCTATCTGGTGTAAAATGGAGGGCTGCCCGAAACCATCAATTTCAGTATCAAAAAAATCGAATTTTTCATTGTGGCACGGGCAAATCCTGGGCCCTTGCTGGTTCATTTTTCAAATTGTACCCGCTCGTGAAATGCAGTGGACTTGGGGTTTTCGGGGGCTTCCTGGGGCTTTCCTGGCCTTTCTGGTGTAAATCCTGGGGTCCCTTGCTGGTCCATTTTTCAAATTGTTCCCACCCGTGGAATGCAGTGGACTGGGGCTTCCTGGGGCTTTCCTGGCCTTTCTGGTGTAAAATGGAGGGCTGCCCGAAACCATCGATTTCAGTACAAAAAAAATCGCATTTTCATTGCGGCACGGGACCCTAAACCCTAAACCCTAAACCCTAAACCCTAAACCCTAAACCCTAAACCCTAAACCCTAAACCCTAAACCCTAAACCCTAAACCCTAAACCCTAAACCCTAAACCCTAAACCCCAAACCCCAAACCCTAAACCCTAAACCCTAAGCCCTAAGCCCTAAGCCCTAAACCCTAAACCCTAAACCCTAACCCTAAACCCTAAACTCTAAACTCTAAACCCGAATACATCAGGAGTTCCGGAACCGAGGCAAAAGGGAGCGCACAGTTTTTTGAAGCCAGGCGCGGCCTGTTGGTCTCAGAGCCCGGCGCCTGGCGCGGCGGAGGGACAAGGAAGCAAGGGGTGTAGGGTTTAGGGTTTAGGGTTTAGGGGTTAGGGTTTAGGGTTTAGGGTTTAGGATTCAGGGTTTAGGGTTTAGGGTTTAGGGTTTAGGGTTTAGGGTTTAGGGTTTGCTGAAATAGGCCGTAGATGCTGTGAAGGTTAGGATGCAGCAGAGGCTCGAATGCCTCGTCAGGTGCGAAGAGCAGCTCTGGCCCGATTGTGGAGGGCCATGTAATACTTTTCTCCCACCCCACGCCGTCCGAGGCGGCAAAACAAGCCAAACCTATTCCTATTAGGGTTTAGGCCTTAACTCATGACAATCGCTTACCTCCGAAAACCTTTCCGTCATCGATGGTCACTTTCAGCCAAAGGGGAAGGTTTCAGGCCAGGTCCCAGCTCCGTCGGTTTTAGCACCCAGAAGGGTCGCAAAGGTTCCAGAAAGGTCCATGGAAAGTTGGGTCCCAGAACAGGGTGGTTCCAGGGGGTCCCAGGGGGGTCATTTTAAAACCAAAACTGGACTTTTTGAGCACTCGCCTGACCTGGCCAGAAACCCCTGGTCCTGGGCATGCTGCGGCGATGCCCCAGGGCAGGTCTCATGGAGCTTGGGTAGAACTGCACATCGTGGGTGCTACCGACTTCCGAGCTGTGGGAGGCGGGCGAACGACCTGCGTCGGCTTGCGCCATCGAAGTCGAAGGGCTTAGCGCCGCCCAACTGTCGGGGGGCGGCCTAGGCCTTGAGTTTAGGGTTTAGGGTTTAGATAGAGCCCTAAAACCCCAAATCCTAAACGCGGAACGTAATCAAGTCACACCCTCAACGCGCTCAACACCCCCAACACCCTCCACCCCCTGAACCCTAAACCAAGCAAACCGTCAAACCCAAATCTTCTGATTCAGCACCCCGAACTTCCCCGAAGCCCTGCAGTGACAATTCCTCAACCTACCCTTAAACAGCCAAAGCCCCTAAGCCCCAAGCCCAGAACAAACCCCGCAGCTTCACCTTCCCATCCTGAAAACCTAGAGCCCTAGTGCGCAGCAACTTACAAACTCTGCAGGACCTAAATCTTAAACCTACCTCCAAAAGAGCCGTAGGGCCCCAGAACGCCCAAAGCCCCAGACTAGAACCTGAGGCCTGGGCTGAGCAGCTCTCGTAACTACGGTTCCTTTTTGGTTCGCAAAAAACAAAAAACCCTCAACCTTAATCCTGAACCTTGAACTCTACTTCTTCTGTAGAAGGTGATCAGATTTTAGAGGTAAATGACCAGCTCGCAACCTAGTCTGTAAAGCCTCAAAGGCCCTAAAGCTTAAACCTAAACCTTAAGCCATACAGCCCCAAACCTTACAACCCTGAACCCCTTACGCCCCAAGCCTTACAGCCCTGGCCCCGCAGCCTTGACTACGCCCTGAACTCCTGAAACCCTGGCCTTAAAGCCCTCACACCTCAAGTTGTCAACCCATTCGCTAGTTGAGCTTCACAATGTACCCACCGTAACTGGCCTCCTTTGCGCTCAAGAGCTCGATATTTGACCTATTCCCCGCACCCTTGATCACGATCACCTCTGTCATGAGCTTGTCGTAGACGCTCAGGGCCAGCATCATGAGCATCAGCGGCGAACCCTCTCACCTCAACAAGCGTGGCCGGGCCAGCATCATGAGCATCAGCTGCGAGCCTGCTCACCTCAAGCCAGCCTGAGGGCCAGCATCATAAGCATCAGCCACGAGCCCTAAGCCGGGTGGGTGGGGAATGGTTGCCTTCGGCCGGTGGTGGCGTCTCGAGCTGCAAGCGCCCTGACCCCTGACCCTAAAAACCCATGCATGAGTGGGGATCAATGGTTGAGTGCTCTTTAGGGTTTAGGGTTTAGGCGGTTTAGGTTTTTTTGGAGTCACCCATCTCCGAGCGCGACCTTCCGGTTAGTGAACCCCTTTTTTTCGGCTGGTGTAGTAGACGTCAACGTCGAAATAGTTCACCCCCAAGGTGTAGTAGACGTCGAGGTCAAAATAGCTCGCCCCCAACGCGAGCCCTCTCACTTCAAGCCGGCCTCAAAGCCAGCATCATGAGCATCAGCCGCATGCCCTCTCTGCTCAAGCTGGCCTCAGGCCAGCATCATGAGCATCAGCGGCGAGCCCTCTCGCCTCAGCCGCGAGCCCTGTCACCCCAAACCGCATCATCAGCGGCGAGCCCTCTCACCTCAAGCGAGGCCGTGCCAGCATCAGGAGCATCCTGCCACCCCAAGCCGAGCATCATGAGCATCAGCCGCGAGCCCTCTCACCTCAAGCCGGCCTGAGGCCAGCATCTTGCGCATCAGCGGCGAGCCCTCTCACCTGAGCCGCGAGCCCTGTCACCCCAAACCGAGCATCATGAGCATCAGCCGCGGGCCCTCTCACCTCAAGCCGGGCCGGCCTCAGGGCCAGCATCATGAGCATCAGCCGCGAGCCCTCTCACTTCACGCCGGCCTCAGGGCCAGCGCCTGGTTGTTTGAGGCTCGGGGAAGTTGGGAAATCCAGAGCCTATCGCCCCATGGCCCAAAGCTCCTAAAGCCCAAACAACTCAAAGCCCTAAACTCCTTAGGCCTCACACTCACCCCTGAAGCCGAAACTCAAAGCCCAAAACCCCTCTAACCCGAAACCCTTAACCCCCTAACAGCCTTGGCAACAACTTGTCGAGCAGGCTGCGGGTCTACCCCAAGGGCTTAGCGCGGATGCCCCGCTGGAGCCGGGAGGGCTTGAGATTTTGGTTCTTAGGGTTTAGGGTTTGGGGTTTAGGGTTTGGGGTTTAGGGTTTGGGGTTTAGGGTTTGGGGTTTAGGGTTTAGGGTTTGGGGTTTAGGGTTTGTTTCTGGTTTGAGGCTTGAGGTTTTGGGTTTCGGGCTTGTTTAGAGTTTGGGGCTTCGAGGTGTTGGTGGTCTCATGGCGTTGAGCTGTAAGGATTGATGTTTCAAGGTTTACTGGCTGGTTCTTAGTAGGGAATGAGGGAATGAGGGCCTATATAAGCCCTTAAAGGTATGTGTAGGGCCCTCATTCCCTCATTCCCTACTAAGAACCAGCCAGTTGGTGTTTCAAGAGTTTTAGGCTGTGTTTAATTGGTTTTAGGGTTGGGGATTTTAAGGGCCTGTAGAGCTTTCGGGTTTGAGGCCTTTAGGGTTGTCGAAGTGTGTTTAGCAGTATCCTAGGGTCCATTTTTCCAGTGGGGGCCGGAGCTTGCCTAGCTGGACGAGGTCGATTCGAGTGGGAGGGCCTCGGTTCGATGTTATTTCCATCAGCCCGCCCAGACCACTCAGCTAAACCAAGCCTTCCAGAAGGGCTGCAATACCCTCAACCCTCAACCCTCAACCCTCAACCCTCAACCCTCAACCCTCAACCGTCAACCCCCAACCCTCAACCCCCCAAACCCCAAACCCTCAATCAAACCCCAGCCCTGAACCCTACACCTCGAATCCGAAGAATGCAGTGCTTTTGGGACATCTGCAGGAGCCCCTCACCGATGTGCCCAGCTCCGACCTGCCTGGTTCTGCAAAGCCCTTGCCTTACGGGTTTAGGGGTCAGGGGGTTTAGGTGGGTTTAGGGGTTTAGGGGGGCAGGGTTAGCGGGGGCATTTAGGGGGGGTTTAGGGGGTTCAGGGCGGTTCTAGGCGGTTGAGGGGGCGCCGGGGTGTTGGTGTTTTTAGGGGGTTTGTAGAGGCCTCCGGAGAATGCCCAGGCCGATTTTAAGGGTTGCGGTGGGTCTCACCTTATCTCTCTATCGTCTTCAAGGGATTACAGTATATGTAGGGTTCCAAGATTCCCTTAATTCGCTGTACAGGTCCTAGTATCCCAACTATGTCCCGAAAACCCTGAACCCTGAACCCTAAACTCTGAACCCTCACCCTGAACCCCAAAAACCCTTGTTTGCGAAGGCCTCGGAGCCACTTGCTGGTGGAGCTGCTGCGGTATGAGGACTACTACCATGCCTCCCCGACGCCACCTGGGCTGGATATGATGCCCTAAACCCTAAACCCTAATCCCTAAACCCTAAACCCTAAACCCGAAACCCTAAACCCTAAACCCTAAAATCAAGCGGTTACTGCAACCTCAAAGGTTGGAGCAGCGGATGAAGGGCCCTCTGGTCGTGGCTGAAGCCTGGCTGCCACATCGCCGGCCCTTAACGCGCCTCCTAAGTCGGGCTCAGGGACCCCTAAACCCTAAACCCTAAACCCTAAACCCTAAACCCTAAACCCTAAACCCTAAACCCTAAACCCTAAACCCTAAACCCTAACCCTAGACCCTAAACCCTAAACCCTAAACCCTAAACCCTAAACCCTAAACCCTAAACCCTAAACCCTAAACCCTAAACCCTAAACCCTAAACCCCCCCTAAACCCTGAACCCTGAATCCCCCTAATCCCTTTCCCTGAGAAGCCCCAAGGAGCGGGAGGCGGAGATCCGGCTCCTCCGCCGGCTGGGTTGGCACGTCATCTGCGCACCCCGACTGTAGACGTGGTGGCTTGGGGTTTTAGTTTTTGGGATTAGGGTTCAGGGTGTAGAGGGTGGAGTTTGGGGTTTAGGGTTAGAGGTTAGGAGTTTAGGCGCTTAGGGGTTTAGGGGTTTAGGGGTTGAGGAGCTTAGGATGACATAGGGTTCAGGTTCAGGGGCACCGAGAGAAGGTGTTGGGGCTCAAAAGTGGCCCTAAGCCCTAAGCCCCAAGCCCTAAGCCCTAAGCCCTAAGCCTCAGACCCTAAACCCGAAACCCTCAACCCGAAATCCTTAACCCTGAACCCTAACCCTAAACTCGAAGCCCTAAGCTCTAAGCCCTAAGCCCTAAACCTGCCAAAAGCAACGTCCAGGTTCCAGAATTCCGCTGGAACCTCGGAGAAGACGGCGACCACGAAGCTGCCTCAGAGGCCACCCGAAATCTCAACACCCCGCCTCCATGGCTTGCGGTTTAGGGTTTAGGGTTTAGGGTTTAGGGTTTCGGGTTTAGGGTTTAGGGTCCCCTCAGTCGACCTCAATGAGGTTGTCACATTCTTTTTTTTTTTTTTTTTTGTGTGTGTGTGTGTGTGTGTGTGTTCCCAAGAGCATCCGATCCTGTTTCAGGGTCGACCCAGAAGAGGATCGGTTTTGTTCGGTGCTGCAAAGCAACGAAACTGTCATCCTATTTGCGACCTGCTTCAAGCTACCTTGACATGAAGCACCTTTGCTTAGTTCCTTTTGGTTGTTGGCATGTTAGTGTGTCTTGAGAGAGGCAAATCGCCGTTTGATCTTCGAGCTCGTCGCAGATGCGGCAGGCCGCATGTCTTGTACTGCTCATCCTTGCTCCCGCAACCATTCTGAGCCTGCCTGACCGGAAGTCCCGAATCCTACTACTTGGAGGTTCATGGTACTTATTAACCAATTACAGCTGTAATTACTTAGAACCCACTTATAAGCTCCTTAAGTGCCTGATATGGTTATAAGTGCAGTTATAAGTACAGCTATAAGTACAGTTATAACTGGTTAACAAGTACCAGGAACCTCCAAGTAGGGATGTTGCGTGGATGGCCTGTAGCCAAACTCCAAATCCTGCAGCCGAAGCCTTAGCACTTAGAAGCCAAGCTTGCTTTGAGCGCCTTGGCTGTCGCAAGACACCCCGAAACCCTACTGGAGTGGGGGATCATTACAGGGATTCCGGTACCCCCAAACCCTAAACCCCCTAAACCCTAACCCCCTAAACCCCAAACCCCTGAATCCCTAATCCCTAGACCCAAATCGAAGCCATCTCCAGCGGCTCGAGACTCGACGGACACACGTTAGTCCCCTTGGGGGGGACTTAGTAAGCAGCAAGGTTTAGGGTTTAGGGTTTAGGATTTAGGGTTTAAGGTTTAGGGTTTAGGGTTTAGGGTTAGTAGTTCTTCGGAAGGACAACTGAGCAGGACTTATAGCTCTGCTTTGTGCCTGCGAAGCCCCTCCAATTTTTCCACTTCCCACGCCGCCCGGGCCCGCTTCTCATGCTTGCCCTCGGCATGTCCACCCCAAAGGAGAGCCGGGGACGGTCTTCGGGACTTTTCTTGGCTTAGAGCTATATGTTTAGGGTTTAGGGGGAGGCTTAGGGTTTAGGGTTGAAGGTTTAGGGTTGATAGATTTTGGGCTTAGGGGGAGGCTTCGGGTTTAGGGTTTGGGGTATAGGGTTGACAGGTTTAAGGTTTAGGATTTTCGTGGGAGGGTCTTTGTTTCTCTTTCGGAGAGGGGTTTAAGGAGGTTGGGGGGAGTTATGGTATGGTGGGTCTATAGCTTTTCGGGGGTGGGGGGGGGGGGGCTTGAGGGGTGCGTTTATAAACCCTAAACCCTAAACCCTAAACCCTAAACCCTAAAGCCTAAAGCCCTAAACCCTAAACCCTAAACCCTTGTACTTCTGGTGTTTTTTGGTCAGGAAGGTGGGAGTGATGCCCTCAGTCCCAAGTTCAAAGCCCTACGCCCTGAGCCCCCAAAACCCTGGGATCTCTGCTGTACCTACGCATATCTTATAACTTGCTGTTGGTTAGCAGGGAATGAGGGAATGAGGGCCCTCTCTCTCTCTATATATATATATACCCTTTAAGGGATTATATAGGATCCCTCATTCCCCCATTCCCTGCTAGCCAACAGGAAGATAAACCACAAGGTTTGGGTATTGGGCGCCCATGCAGTCATAGTGGCGAAGTAGGGCCCTATGATGGCTCTAGTTGGGTCTTCCAGGAGACGGTGGCTGTATGGAAGTCCGACCGAAACCCTACGCCCTAAACCCAGAAACGTAACCCTAAACCCTAAACCCTAAACCCTAAACCCTAAACCCTAAACCCTAAACCCTAAACCCTAAACCCTAAACCGTAAACCCAAAACCCAAAACCCAAAACCCTAAACCCTAAACCCTAAACCCTAAACCCTAAACCCTAAATGCCAAAACCCAAACGCTAAACCCTAAACTCTAAACTCCACACCCCGAAAACGTGGAAGGAGGGCCGAGCTCGGAGGGGACATCAAATCCCGGAGCCTGGGCAGCGCGTGGTACCCCTTTCTTGGGCGATAGCCTCAAAGCCCCCCAAGGGCCCCGAATCCGAAACCTTAAACCCTAAACCCTAAACCCCAAACCCTAAACCCCAAACCCCAAACCCTAAACCCTAAAACCTAGAAAATGACCCTAAGCCCTATTTCCCCCCTGATGTTCTGAGTTTCCCCTGGCATGCTCTCCAGGAGCTCCAGAGCCTCCAGAACCTCAGCGCGTCTCCCAACCTTGACGAGGTGGAAGAGGCCGGGGTCTTCGTTTCATTTTTGATTCTTACATTTTTTTGGTGATTCTTTAAGCTTTTATACTACTCGATGATATGTAGATAAATGAACACCAAATACATATAAAACAAAACTATACATAAATAGAAACAGAATAAATAGATAAGCAAATAAAAAATAGATTAATAAGTAGATAATAGAAAAATAAATAAATAAATAAATAAATAAATAAATAAATAAATAAATAAATATATATATATACAATACGCACAAACATAGTTGTTGTTTCTTTCGCCCCAAAGCGATGCTCAATGCCCAGAATTCAGAGACAATGGCCCGGAAGGGGGGGGGGGGCGAGGAAGGGGGGTGCAGGTTTTGGGTTGGGGGTTTAGGGAAAACAAAACAGGCAAGCAGGGTAGCTACAGCGAGAACCATGGACTTGTTCTTGTTTAGATTGTGAGCGTTAAGGGCTGAGGGTTCCGGGTGGATTGGTTTCAAGAATTTGGCACGTAGGTTTTAAATTGTTTGCAATCTCTGGGCATCCTAACCCATCCCGAATCCCTCAACCCCAGAACTCCAATCCCCTAACCCCTAAACCCCTAAACTCTCAACCCTTAAAAAAGTCTAAATCCCTAAACCACCAAACCCCTAAACCCTATACCCTTAAACTAACTCCCTGAGTCCCTCCCAGGCCCTGAGCCCCTTCTTCCCAGCCTAAACCCCTAAACCCTGAAAAGAACCCTAAACCCCTAAACCCCTAAACCCCTAAACCCCTAAACCCCTAAACCCCTAAACCCCTAAACCCCTAAACCCCCCTAAACCCCTAAACCCCTAAACCGCTAAACCGCTAAACCCTAAACCCCTAAACCCCTAAACCCCTAAACCCCTCCCCGAAACCCCTAAACCCCAAAACCCCTAAACCCCTAAACCCCTAAACCCCTAAACCCTAAACCCCTAAACCCCTAACCCCTAAACCCCTAAACCCCAAACCCTACCCCTAAACCCCTAAACCCCTAAATCCCTAAACCCGTAATCCCTAACCCCTAAACCCTAAAACCCCTAACCCCCTAACCCCTAAACCCTGACCCCAAACCCCTAAACCCCTAAACCCCTAGGCCCTAAACCCATAAACCCCTAAACCCCTAAACCCCTAAACCCCCCCTAAACCCCTCCCCTAAACCCCGTAAACCCCTAAACCCCTAAACCCTAAAACCCTAAACCCCTAAACCCCTAAACCCCTAACCCCTAAAACCCCTAAACCCCTAAACCCCTAAACCCCTAACCCCTAAACCCCTAAACCCCTAAACCCCTAACCCGTAAACCCTAAACCCCTAATCCCTAAACCCCTAAACTTCTAAAACCCCGAACCCCTAAACCCCTAAACCCTAAACCCCTAACCCCTAAACCCCTAAACCCCTAAACCCCTAAACCCCTAAACCCCTAAACCCCTAAACCCCTAAACCCCTAAACCCCTAAACCCCAACCCCTAACCCTAAACCCCTAACCCCTAAACCCCTAACCCCTACCCTAAACCCCTACAAACCCCTAACCCCTAAACCCGTAAATCCCTAAAAAACCCCTAAACCCCCTAAACCCCGAAACTTTAAACCCCTAACCCTAAACCTCTAACCCCTAAACCCCTAAACCCCCCAACCCCTAACCCTAAAAGCCCCCTAGCCCTAAACCCTAGTTAAACCCCTAAACACCCTACCTAAACCCCCGCTAAATCCCTAAACCCCTTAAACCCCTTAAACCCCTAAACCCCCTAACCCCTAAACCCCTAACCCCCTAAACCCCTCCCCCCCTAAACCCCTAAACCCCTAAACCCCTAACCCCTAATCCCTAAACCCCTAAACCCATAAACCCTAAAACCCTAAACCCTAAACCCTAACCCCTAAAACCCCTAAAACCCTTAAACGTAAACCCCTAAACCCCTAAACCCCTCAAACCCTAAACCCCTAAACCCCTAAACCCCTAAACCCGGCGCCTCTCCCTCCCGCCTGCCGCCGCGGACTGCGCTCGACAGCAGGGAAGTGAACCCTAACCCCTAAAACCGACGCCCATAAACCCCTAGAACTATCTAAACCACGAAACATCGAGAAACCTAACCCTAAAAGAGAGGCCCCTGAAAACCCCCCCCTAAACCCCTAAACCCCTAAACCCCTAAACCCCTAAACCACTAAAACCCCTCTAAACCCCTGAACCTAAAAACCCCTGAACCCCTAAACCCTAACCCCAACCCCCCCTAAACCCCCTAAAAACCCTAAACCCCTACCCCTAAACCCCTAAACCCCTAAAACCCCCCCTAAACCCCTAAACCCCTAAACCCCTAAAAACCCCTAAAACCCCTAAACCCTAACCCTAAACCCCTAACCCCTAACCCCTAACCCCCTAAATCCCTAAACCCTAAACCCTAAACCCCAAACTTCTAAACCCCTAAACCCCTAACCCCTAAACCCCTAAACCCCCTAAACCCTAAACCCTAAACCCCAAACCCCTAAACCCCTAAACCCCTAAACCCCTAAACCCTAAACCCCTAAACCCCAACCCCTACCCCCTCAAAAAACCCCTAACCTACCCCCAAACCCTAAACCCCTAAACCCCTAACCCCTAAACCCCTAACCCCTAAACCATAAACCCCCCCTAAACCCCTAAACCCTAAACCCCTAAACCCGTAACCCCTAAACCCCCTAAACCCCTAAACCCTAACCCCCCTAAAACCCCCATAACCCCTACCCCTAAACCCTAAACCCCTAAACCCCTAACCCCTAAACCCCTAAACCCTACCCCCTAAACCCCTACCCCCCTAAACCCCTAAAACCCCTAAACCCCTAAACCCCTAACCCCTAAACCCCTAAACCCCTAAACCCCCCCTAACCCCTAACCCCCTAAACCCCTAAAACCCCTAAACCCCTAAACCCCCCTAAACCCCCTAAACCCCTAAACCCCTAAACCCCCTAAACCCTCTAAACCCCTAAACCCTAAACCCTAAACCCCTAACCCTAAACCCCTAAACCCCTAAACCCCTAAACCACCCCTAAACCCCTAAACCCCTAAACCCCTAAACCCTAAAACCCGAAACCCTAAACCCCTAAACCCCTAAACCCCTAAACCCCTAAACCCCTAAACCCCCCCCTAACCACCCTAACCCCTAAACCCCTAACCCTAAACCCCTAAATCCCTAAATCCCTAAACCCCTAAATCCCTAAACCCCTAAACCCCTAAACCCCTAAACCCCTAAACCCCTAAACCCCTAAACCCCTAAACCCCTAAACCCCTAAACCCCTAAACCCCTAAACCCAGTGCCCTCCCAGGCCCTGAGCCCCTTCTTCCCGGCCTGGGCCTCCGAGCCCCGCCGGGCCACGCACTTCTTCGGGCGCCTTGCGGAGAATTCGAAGCCGGACCTGGCCGCCAGGGCTCTGGAGGCGTATTGGGGTTTAGGGTTTGGGGTTTAGGGTTTAGGGTTTAGGGTTTGGGGTTTAGGGTTTAGGGTTAGGGTTTAAGGAGTTTAGGGTTAGGGTTCAGGGTTTAGGGATATGGGGGTTTCCGAAATTGGGGGGTACCTTGTTGGGATCCCTTTTTTTTGAGGGGATCCTACTGTTTGGGGTCTCTACTAGGGCCCCTAGCTTCGTAAACCCCCAAACAGGGTTTTGGGGTGGAAGGAGGTCCCTTATTTTAAGGGGGGAAAGGGGATCCTAGTATTGGGGTCTACATTATAGGGTCCCAAACCCCTGGTATAGGGTTCAAGGGTTGAAGGGGTTTCAGGGCAGGTTGAGGGGGGTTTGAGGGGTGGAGGGCTTGTCTTAAGGGTTTCAATCTTCAGGGCTTCAAGGGAGGGGTTTGAGAGGTGTTGAGGGCTTGTCTTAGGGGGTTCAATCTTCAGGGACTCAGGCGGTTCTTACGGCCACCAGATCCTGAGCGACACCCTGAGGCCATGAGCAGGTGCCGGTTGCAGGTGAGCGCCTTCGAGTGCAGCGCCGCCATCTCCGCGTGTCGCAAGGCCTCGAGGTGGAGCGCTTTCGTTGTGTTTTTTGGGGGGAGTTCAGGGTTTTAGTGGGCCTGTATAAGGTTTATAGGGTTTATGTAGGGTTTAGGGAGGGTTTGGGGGAAGGGGGGGGTGAAACCTCAAAGAGGCCCAAACCGTTGGTTTACTTTGGCAGCAGGTGGCAGCTGGCCTTGAGACTCCTGGGTGGCGCCCAGAAGCTCTGCCTTCCCAACATCGTCTGCCGCCTCCTCGGCGGATTTCGTTGGCCCACAGCTTTGCCTGGCATGCTGCGAATGTGCATAGGTGAGAGGTCAGAGAGACATGTGTGATGTGGATATGGGGGATGGGGCTGGAGGCTTCAACGCCGCTATCGGCGCCTGCGACGGCGCCGGCCGCTGGGAGTGGGCCATGAGCCTGGCGCAGCAGCTCTTGCCACGGGCCCTGAGCCCCACTGCCGTCACCGTGGCCTCGGCCATCAGCGCCTGCGCGGAGCGCTGGGAGCTGGGCCTTCGGTGGCTCTGCCAGGGCCCCTGGGATCTTGTGTGCTGGAACGGTGCCTTGAGCGCCTGCGAGAAGGGTGGCCAGAGCCAGGCCGCAGCTCGGCTGGCACGGGCCATGCGAGAAGAGGGGTTGCAGCCGGACACCATCAGCCAGAACACGCTCAGCAGCACTTTTGCACAGGAAGGCCTCTGGCAGGCATCCCTCAGGTGTTTGTGTGTCTCGGTGGCATCTGGCAGTTTGGCCCGGGCTGGGTCCGAGGGGTCAGAGGGGTCAGAGGGGTGAGAGGGGTGAGAGGGGTGTGTGGGTGGTGTGGAAGTTGGATCATGAGATGTCAGGCACCACGAAAGCTGCCTCCGTCATCAGCTACAACTCCTGCATTACCGCCTGCGCGGAGGCCGGCGTTTGGCCTCGAGCTGCGCACGTCTTTGCCCAGGTGCGGATGGCAGCCATCAAGCTCAGCGTGGTAAGCCGGGCGGCGTGGCTCACCGCCTGTGAAAGGTCTGCGTGCTGGAGGGCGGCTCTGGGGTCCCTCGGCAGCCTTGGCCGGGACCTCAACGGCTTTGCGTACGCCACGGCGATGAGCGCTGTCGGCGCCGAGAGGTGGCAGAACGCACTGCAGCTCATGTTCCAGGCCATGCAGGTGGCACTTTTGCCCGACCTCGTGACCCTCGGGGCGGCCACCAACGCCTTCTCGGCACGCACCCTGTGGCAAGGGTGCGTGTCCATGCTGTGCACCTGCGAAAGTTCAGGACGTTGACACTGTAGGTGTTCACAACCCTTCCGGCCCCCAGCTTCAGATCCCCACGCCAGAAGCTGAAGCTGTGGTGCAAGCTGAGGTGCGCTGAAGGGCTGACAGCGAACGAGCTCATCTGCGGGGCCGCCATCACTGCATGCTACAAGGCTGAGGAAAGCGGAAAAGAGGACTTGGCACACCCTCGCTGTCTGTGTATTCAGTTAGATAGTCCAATGTCAAAACAGCAGGATACCAAGGGACACTGCCTTTGCCGTTCCCGCTAGAAGAGGCAAAACACCTTGCTTGCAAAGTAGCGGACATCCTTTTCGGGTCGTACGTTGTCAAATCTCCAGTGAAAGCTTCCTTCCTAGAGACGTCTCGCATGATGTGGGATCGAGGCTCCATCTACTTTAGGATTTAGGGCCAGGCCTCCAGCGGCAGTGAGGCCCTCGACCCACCCCCCTCTACCCCCCCCCCCCCCCCCCCCCCCCCGGGACCACTTAACGCAACACGAGCGCTCGAGCAAGGACCTGAACCGTCAATGACTGGTTCTTGAACTACAATCCTGTAAACACCAAAACGCTCTGAGACCTCAAAACTAAAACCTATAAAGCCCTAACCCTACGTGCTCAACCGGCAGGTCCCGAGTAGTGCCAAGCGACTTTGCAAGGCGCCAAGTTGGCAGGGTCTGCATCAAAGGGTGCCCGGAAGTTGTATCTCCTTGCAGTTTCCGAAAAGGCCCAACAGGCCAACAGGCCCTAAAGGCCCTAAAGGCCCTAAAGGCCCTAAAGGCCCTAAAGGCCCTAAAGGCCCTAAAGGCCCCAAAGGCCCTAAAGGCCCTAAACCCAAAGCACAAAAACCCTAAAGCCTTAAAACCCTCATTCCTAAAGCCCGGCCTTGTCAGGATGTAGCATGTTTCTTTGCCTGCTTTTGAGGACTTAAGGTGTCAATTGCTTTTTGAAGACATCGGTGAAGAGGCCGAACCCGTCATTTTATCCTGACTTGTAGGATATGGGTAGTTTCCCAAATCAGGGCCTCTGTTTGGGTACCCATGATAAGGCGGCACCCTTGAAAAAGGGATCCCAAACAGGGACCGAAAGTGAGAGAACTGCCCACATTAATCCGTGTTGGGAAATTCGTGATGTCGGCTCGAATGTCGCCTTGTGCTCATTTTTTTGTTTCAGTCCGGCTGAGTTTTGCAGTTTGTACTTGTACCATCGCCATCATGGCTCCGCTGGCCTTATTGCTTGTGGACACCGTACCGAGCGCGTCCGGATGAAGCCCGAAGCCCCAAACCCTAAAGCCCCAAACCCTAAAACCCCAAACCCCAAACCCTACAACCCCAAAATCATTTAGGGTAGAAAGGGGTCGCAAAGGGGTTGTAGAAGTCCGAGATCTCCCGCTTTGTGTGGCAGCATGCTCAAAGTCGGGCGGAGGTCGGGCAGAGGTTTGCAATGCTTTCAGGCTCTGAGGCTTGAAGGGGTTTAGGGTTTAGGGTTTAGGGTTTAGGGTTTAAGGTGCTTCTACAAGGGGTTGAGGATTTGCGGTTCAGGGTATGGGGCAGGGAGGGCATGTCGGCAATTCGGTGGTCCTTCTCACTTGGGGGTTTACGAAAATATGGGGGGACCCCGAATATAGACCCCCAAATAGAAAAACCCTTATGATAAGGACCCCGATGAGGCACCCCCAATCTCAGAAATGCCCCTAAATCCCAAAACAGAAGCAGACAGGAGCCACAAAAAGAACAACGGACTGCTAAAACAACATTTCGGAAAGCCCCAAAAAGAAACAAATCCCTTATGATACTGTAAGGACCCCAAGAAGGTGCCCCCTAAACCCTAAACCCTAAACCCTAAACCCTAAACCCTAAACCCTAAACCCTAAACCCTAAACCCTAAACCCTAAACCCTAGACCCTAGACCCTAGACCCTAAACCCTAAACCCTAAACCCTAAACCCTAAACCCCCTAATTTCGGAAAGCTCCACGCGGTTGTCAAATCGTCGTGTGGGGCGTCGCAATTTTGGAGCAGCTCCCAAGGGTTCTGAGGGTTCCTGAACCCTGGACAAGCCCCAAACCCTAAGCCCTAAACTTTAGACCCTAAACCCTAAACCCTAGACCTAAACCCTAAACCCTAAACCCTAGACCTTAAACCCTAGACCCTAGACCCTAAACCCTAAACCCTAAACCCCAAACCCTAAACCCCAAACCCTAAACCCTAAACCCGAAACCCTGATATCCATGCGAACCAGGCTCCAGATGCCCGTCTTTGTGTTGCCGGAGTCGAACTTGTCGAGGGCGAGAGGGAAAAAGCCTGGGCAGAGTGGGGAAAATCCGGACACGTCTGTGAAAGCAGGAGGGAGGGGGGTTTAGGGTTTAGGGTTTAGGGTTTAGGGTTTAGGGTTTAGGGTTTAGGGTTTAGGGTTTAGGGTTTAGGGAGGCATAGTATGTTGTTATAATAAAAGCCCGCGAGTGCTTGCGCAGCGAAGCTTGAGTTCTACTAGGCTTTCGCCTGGGATCCGGCCTGGCCCCTCCGAGATGTCTTGCTTGGAATAGCTGCTTTCAAGCCGGCCTTTATCTACTGTTTGCTCAAGAACCCCCAAACAAATAAAGCATCTTCTTCCCTATAAGGGTAATAAGGGGATTGTTTGCTTATTCTTTTTTGGGGGTTCTTAAGCAAAGAGTAGTTATGTGGCCTAGATTCTAGGCTAGCTTGTGTTGTCTTCGGCTTGCCCCTCGAGTATATGTATATTACTGTAGTACTATCGCGTGCTATAGTATTGATTATATCATCCTAGCAATTCTGTTCGTAGATAATTATATTAGTATATGTTACACCGTTATACGTGCTACAGTGTCAAAGTTGTTATATTAACAGTTTGTAGTATATGAATATATTATTGTATTCTTTTATTGCTGTTTTTCTATTAGTATATCATGTTTTTCTATTAGTATATCATTTTAGCATTAGGTTCTTATATTCTGGTATCATTGTAGTTTTATACTTATATAAAATGATATTAGTATTTTGTTTCCTGGTTGCGTATATTTGTTTAACACATGGTCGTTTCAAAATACAACCATACCATGATCTGCTCATGTGAGTATGTTGTGAAATCAATATATTTTTTATGTTATGGTGGTATAGCCGTTTTCTGGAGTTCGATGTTGGCTTCTTGGAGCCAGCGCTGCAGATGTTGAAGGGAAGCGAGAAGCGAGCCGGGAAGACGTAGCCCGCTCCGGGGCGTTTGTTGGCTCAGGCACACATGGCACACATAGATCAGGCAGCATTTAGGGTTTACTGTAGGGTTTAGGGTTTAGGGTTTAGGGTTTAGGGTTTAGGGTTTAGGGTTTAGGGTTTAGGGTTTAGGGTTTAGGGTTTAGGGTTTAGGGTCACTCTGGAAGTAGCTGCTCTGCAGTGGCTGCTGCAAAGAGAGTTGCAATGCTGCAAACATTCTGTTGGTAGCTCCAAAAATTAGCTCAAGGCCATTCTCCTCCTCAGGCAGGAACAAGGAAGAAGGTCAACTAAGATACGTCGTCAGCATGTTGTCAAAACCAAGCCCGAGCGGGGGAGATGAATACTTGGGTGGTGGACATGGATGTTCGGTGAAAGCTGATGGTTTTTGGTGAATGAAAGATGATAAATTTGATGAACAACGAAGGAGACAGGTTCAAGATAGCCACCCAAAGATGGGTGCATCGGAAGCTGTGCTGCAGCCCCGCATGCTGGCGCCGGTCCTTGCAATTGGCCGTGCTGGAAGGGCCGATCAGGAAGAGGAGGCAGACAGCCTCACGGAGGCTGAGAGGGATCTGGGGGCTTTCGGAAAATTGGGGGGTGCCTTCTTGGGGTCCTTATTCTGAGGGACTCCTACTATTTGGGGTACCTTATTAGGGGTCCCGTAGTTTCGTAAACCTTCATGGGGCAAGTGTAAAATTGCGGATGATAAGGTTTTTGTGCCCAGATGCCTACCAGGGCCCCAGTCCTGACGGTCCCACAGGCCGAGGTGGCCGATGTCGCCTCCATGATGGCGGGTGCACCGGTCCTCATTGGCGATGTAGCCTGTAATGGATGGCCCGAGCAGGAAGAAGAAGCAGACAGCATCACAGAGGCTGAAAGAGATGGCGTGCCAGTGTAGGGATAGGTCAGGCTTTTGTGCCCAGACGCCTGCACTGGCCCTAAGTTTTGATGGTCCCGCAGGCTCGAGAAGCTGATGTTGCCACCGTGATGGCCGGTGCACCGACCCTCTAGCCGCCGTGGCCAAGCATGCTGCCAGCCAAAGCCATGCGCCGTGCCTTCATGAAGACTAAGCGTGGAATGTAGATGACCCTACTGCGTAAAGATGCCCTGGGAGTATGTTGGTTGCACCTTCCGTGAGGCGAGGTACCGGAAGTTCTGCACCGCGACATCATGTCCATTCATGTGCAATACGCATGGCCTCAGGCAACGCAGCCCGAGATGCATGGAGTGCCACTGAATTTGTCATAGGTCCTAGGTCAGTTTTGTGCCACGCACTCCGCAGCCAAGCGGAAGAGTGCGATGGCATCATGGAAGCATGGACCAGGCACCGGTTCTTTTGGCCATGAGCCCGATATGGCATGGGCATTGTTTGGTTAACAGCCTGGATCCTCATGTTTCCATAAGCTCAGCAGCAAGAGGTGCTTGCTTTAGTCGCGAGGATCTCATGCCGCGCACCACTTAGCGTCTTTTCTTGTTTACTTGCGCTGCTCCCTGAGCAATGCTAGAGGCCGAGACAGCGTCTCTCTGATGTTGTCATGGCCAGAGGACGCAGAAGCCAGAGACGGAGAAAGTGCAGTCCTTTCTGAGCACGTGATGCCATGCCCATGGGCTTAGCGGCGTTGACCAAAGCCTGGCTGGTATTTCAACTGCTGGCACGCAGCTGTAATTGGTGACTTGCTGATACTTGCTGCCCCAATTCTGTTTCAAGCCCCATTGTGGCCGACGCATTCCTGAGAACCAGGTAGCACGGAACCCCGACCCTACATGCCCAGGCCTTCCCAGGCTTCAGGGTGCTTCAATCATGACATACCCGTATGGCGGACATGCATCCGGGCAAGAACAGAGGGTGTAGGATTCCGCGTCCTCTATGTGCGGTTTCCTGTTAAATGCAGTGCTGGGGCACCTGCCTCTGCCGAGACTGAGTTCGAGTGGTCTCCGTCGTGGCCCAAAGTTTATTGTAGTGTCGGACCTCCTCCCACATCTGCTCCTTCATGTGGATACGGCAGGAACATCAAAGCTCACAAGCACTGCATCATCCACCCAGACCCATCCTACATTAGTCTTGGATTCAGCCGACTGCTGTGCAAATTTGTGCGGCATTGCATCCACCCAGGCCGGTTGCAGGAGGGTGTTGGACAGTGGCACGGGTTTAGGACCCTAAACCCTGACCGCTAAACATCCGTCGTGGACCAGGGAGGGTTTGGGGTGTTTGACTTTTTTGCAGTCGAGTATAGTATGTTCCTTGTAGTTTCGGGCACCAAGAAGACTATCCCAGTGCCATCATGAAGCTCCTCTCTCAGGTGTCTTTAGGGTCTTTCTGGGCCATGCACTGAGCCTAAGAGTCTCGTACAAACAGTAGCGCTTCCTCAAAAATCGAAAAGTAGCCCAAAACACTGTCACTAAACACCAAAAGCCTGAATCCTTAAGCACGAAATCCTAAACCCACCCAAATAGAGTGAAGATCTGAGCCCCTAAACCAGACCTTCGAGACATCTCGCCCGATGCAGGCAGCAGTTGCCTGGTGTCTCCGGAATAGCCAGAGGCGCCTCTTCTTACTGTTGGTTAGTAGGGAATGGGGGAATGAGGTACCCTACATCATCCCTTAAAGGGTAGAATATAGGGTCCCAAGTCCCTCATTACCAGTAAGAGTTTGGGATTCTGGGGTTCGGCGTTCAGGTGTTTCAGCACTCCAGGCTCGAGCCACCATCCAGATTCAAGGGTTAAGCTAAGCACTAAACCCTAAATCCTGGTTGAGGGCTTAGGGTTGGGGGTGCGGTTGCCAGGACATGTTCGTGCTGGGGGTTTAGGCTTTGGGGGTTAAAGTTTTGGGTTTTAGGGTTTAAGATGCTCGTTCTGAACCTTCAGCAGTTTGCGTGGCTGGGGCAAGACTCCATGCCCGAAGTGGAGCAGCGAAAGCCTTTGAGAGCCTAAACCAGAAACCTTACAATCCTTAAGCCCTCAAAACCCTTAGGCTCTCAAAGCGAAAACCCTAAACCCTAAACCCTAACCCTAAACCCTAAACCCTAGGCCCCAAACCCTAAACCCTAAACCCTAAACCCTAAACCCTAAACCCTAAACCCTAAACCCTAAACCCTAAACCCTAAACCCTAAACCCTAAACCCTAAACCCTAAACCCTAAACCCTAAACCCTAAACCCTAAACCCTAAACCCTAACCTCTAAACCCTAAACCCTAAACCCTAAACCCTAAACCCTAAACCCTAAACCCTAAACCCTAAACCCTAAACCCTAAACCCTAAACCCTAAACCCTAAACCCTAAACCCTAAACCCTAAACCTAAACCCTAAACCCTAAACCCTAAACCCTAGACCCCAAGGCTGAAGCCCTGGCGCCAAGGCGTTTTTCGAGGCGATCGCAGAGGCCATGCCTGGAGCTCCCACACTTCTCGGCGGGGGGCTCGTTTAGGGTTTAGGCTTTAGGTTTAGGGTTTAGATTTAGGGTTGATTAGGGTTAGGGTTTAGGGTTTAGGGTTTAGGGTTTAGGGTTTAGGGTTTAGGGTTTAGGGTTTAGGGTTTAGGGTTTAGGGTTTAGGGTTTAGGGTTTAGGGTACGGGTTTGGGGTTTAGGGTTTAAGGTTTGGGGTTTGGGGTTTAGGGTTAAGGGTTGCAGCTTTTGCAGGATCTTCACCCCCCCCCCTCCGCCCCCCACCAAAAAAAGAAAGAGGCAGCAACAATCCACAGTAGGCCCGAAGCTCTCAAGCAACCCATAGTGAAAGACACCGCAAACCCGTTGTCCTGAAAACCTATAACCCTGCTACCAGCTGTTACCCCTTCGATTCGGAGACTGCGGCGTCTTAGAGTTTGCGCACTTCAGGAATGGGTTTCGGGTTTCCCCCTATCTCCCCGAAATCATCAAAACTCTTAGTATAGTAGTGCAGGAACCCTAGATAGGTACCCCAACTCTTCAGCCCTTGAATTCTTGAACCCTCAAGCAGTTCACCCCGAACCCTTAAAGCCTCTAACTTTGAAACTCTTTTTCGTTGGGGAGTACTTGGAGGTTCATGGGTACTTAGAACCACAGTTAGAAGTCCACTTATAACCTACTTAGGGGACTTAGGGGGGCTTATAAGTATAGTTCTAGTTAGGGTTATAAGTACTATGAACCTCCAAGTAGACCCCCCTGCTTGACCCTTGCGCCTTGGGCGGGACGCATCCTAGGATGCGGCTTCTCTGCCAAAGTGGCCCGTGTGCAGCCGCTCGGGCCTTGGGTACGTTTGGGGCACTGCGAGGCGCTTGCAGCTGTGTAGGCCTCAACATGTCAGGGGGTTTACGAACATAGGGGACCCCTGAAACAGACCCCCAAGTAGCAGGATGCCCTTCTAATGAGGACCCCTAAGAAGGTAATTTACCCTGCCCCCAAACCCTCAACCCAAATTTCAGCAACTCCCATGTACCTAGAAGGTACCCCCCACCTATTTCGGAGACCACCATGTGCGCTTGTTCTGAGTTCCACGCGTGCTGTTATGCGCAAAAAAAGCAGAAGGAGGGCCAATGGAGCGCAGACCTTGGTCCCAGCACCCTAGATAGGTTTAGGGTTTAGGGTTTCGGGTTTAGGGCTCAGTGTTTTCTAGGATTCTGGAGCGGCTTTAGGGGTTTAGGGTTAGAGGACCGTCCGGCTGTTTGGCAGCCCTGCGTGCGACGTGCGTTTGGCTGTTGTGGTGAGCTCGAAGCCCTAAGCCCTCAGCCCTAAGTCCTAAGTCCTAAGCCCTAAGCCCTGAGCCCTAAACCCGAAGCCCTAAACCCTAACTAGGGGGTTGTAGCGTGCAGGACCGGGGCCAGAGTCTCAGGGCTATATGCCTCATAGAAATCTGATTTGGTTAGCGCGCCCCCCCTCCGAAGGCCACACCAGTACTGCTGTGACGACTGCATTTTTGCTACCAGCATCTACATAAACAAATCCATTATTACACTTTTGTTGGCACCATGATTCCCGTCGTACCATGACCATGATACAACCCTAAACTCCAACCCCCGAGCCAGGGGTGTAACGCTCAGGTCAGACTGCACCTTCCGATGCAGCTGCTGCATGCAATTTATCTCGGAAGACGCCCCGGCAGAGCGGCTGCAACTAAGCCCAAGGTCCCGTAAGCCCTTTTAAACCCGATTTCAGCGCCTGAACTGTAGGGTTTAGGGTTTAGGGTTTAGGGTACCTGAGGGTTCCGTAAGTAAGGGGTGTCGGGCTCTCGGTTTGTTTCCTTTTGTCCTATTAGCACCATGCAGCACCGTTGGTACCATTATGTACGACCAGTACTTGAAGGGTCGGAGGATTTAGTAAGTAGTTATCTAGTAGAGTTATCCATAGGATAACTCCAATTAGGGCCTTTTAGGGTACATATAAGTCTACTCACTTCTACTTACTAAGTCCCCCGACCCTCCAAGTACTACCATTCATAACCATCCCTACCATTCTACCGTGATGACCATCATGACCAGTATTGCCATTTAGAACCATGATGACCATTGTTACCATATACAACCCTGATGACAATGACCAGTAATACCATGGACAGTCATTATTGCCATTCTTGCCCTGTCCAACATTTCTTACCATGATTGCCATTCATGACCATTATATCCATGATTTCTAATCTTACAACTTATGACCAGTACTCCCATTTTATAGCAAGTTACCTTTGTTACCACCATTACCATTGATACCAATTTAGAACCCGGATTACCATGATTACCATTTTGCCCAGTACTGCCACCATTATTACCATTGTTACGATTGATAACCCGTATTGCCATTATTGCCATTGTGCCCGGTATTTCCATGGATGACCAAGACCATTCTTGCCATTTATAGCACTTCTTGCCATCATTACCATTATGACCAGTATTACCATCCCGTTAGTACCATTATTACCATTTAGAACCCCTTTTACGTGTGTTGCCATTACGGCCGGTAGTACCACTTATTGCCATATTTGCCATTGTTAGCATGTTTACCATTGTTGCCGTTTATAACCCTTATTACCATTCTTACCATCATGA